GCCTTTGTCCCAAAGAACTCCATGTAACCTGCCGGCGCGGCGGCCGGCGTCTAGAAGAAAAAATCAGTTGCACCTCATGAAATTTTAGCTCTATTTTCGAGTGACCGCGGTGTTGCGCTGTCTATCATAGTTTGCACCTGTAGATGCTTGTCTGAGGGATATTTTCCTGAAAAAGTAGTAGATTTGTCAATTGTCCATGTGCCTCCGTTTTCCTCGTTGGCATGAGATGAGATAAGTCCAGTCAGCACCCGATATGTCCGAAACGCGCCACGCTGCGCTGCGCCTCGTCGCACAGTTTACATTTGATTTGGAGCAGCCTATGCGCAAAACTAAATTCGTCGATAGTACTACGGCTATCATCAATTGATACTAAAATTTATTTCACAAACCATTGGATATCCGTGAAACAGGGGTAGACTAAACGAAATAACGGCCAAAATTGACAAAAAATCACAATTGTCAAATTTGCCACCATTTCATAATGACCCTTTAAAGTTCTCATACCTTCAGCTAAATTTTGATGTAATATGTGTTGTGAGAAGAAAATTTCACGCTTTTTTCATTGGTGCCAACAGTTAAGAGGAAAAATTCTACCAAAGCCGTGTTTTAAAAGTTACAGAGCAAACTTGAAATTTCAAGAAAATTTTGGCCTTTTTTTCGGTCCTTATCCCCTTAGCTCGGGACCAACGAGTCAAAATTTAAAAAAACTAATATATATTCGAAAGCAGAATTTTATACTCTAAAAAATTTAATAATGATTTTTTTCACTGAATGCCCAAGAATCACGCTAGATCGGGAAAACGCTGACGAAGTCAACAATCAATTTATACGTAATTTCAGACGGCCGCCATTTTGTTATAAGCAATTTTTACTCTGTTCCTGTGGGGGGCTAATGGTAAACTTTTTTTGGGGACTGTAGACATGTTTTGGAGTGTTTTAAAACACAAGAGAAGGTTTGCTTATTCGTCCGAGGTTAGGCCCCTTTTTTTTCACTAGATTGACTGGACTAAAACGTTGACTGCCTTAAAGCTCCGAAAATGATCGACGTCTACGAAACGCTCGAGCGCTCACATGTGGGAGCTATGGTAATCGCTCGATGGTAGTGATCCTCGCGGTGTAGAACCTAACTTCAAGAAAATTTGAAAAATAACGCATAAGGCGGCTGCATTCTTGAAATATACGTATATTTTTGGCGTTTTCTAACCCCTTATGTCATGGAAGGGCCCGCCGTCTACAAGTGTTAGGTGGAAAATTCGATTTCTTGCAGATATACGTGATCCTGCGGATTTTTGTCTAGTCCAACAACTGACAATGGCAGTAAGTTGCGAGGATCCTACGCGAGATTGCAGCTTTAATAACTGCTAACGGATTTTTATATTACCTCTTACGGGAGTCTAGGGTTCTATGGCACTGGTCCCTGGTTAAACCCGTTTCCGAATGGCGGTAGAACGTGGGTCCTACCTGCCTCCAGGATTCATCACCAAGAATCCTCTCAAACGCGAGAACAACGCCCCTTCTAGAGATCTCTCTCCGGAGAGGCTCCAAGAGAAAAATGATGGAGAGGAATCCTAACTAAGTTTTTAATAAAGCACTTATTTTATGCCATTCCACCTTACTTTAGTTATCCACAAAATTTTGATGAACTGCTGAGAGACTCATTCTTTGATGAAGATTGAGTTGTGAAGGAAAAAATTAGTAAACCAGATGTTTTTGTAAAGTTTTGTAAGCAGATGATCGTTCAGGTAGGCTGAGTCACGCCTTGGCTGTCATATAGATCATATTCGATACATCAAACAGGTGAGATTGTATCGATATTGATTGGTTCAAAACATAAACATAGCCTCAAAAGTCAATTTAGCAATCGAAGGGAACGGGTCTTTTGTAACAGACGTTTTATTCTTTTGAGTACCAAATGCCAATGCAAAGTGAAATTGTTAGACATTTTCTCATTTTCAGCTTTTCCAACTTGATCCTAATAGTTTGGTTTGAGGTTATGTTCTATTGTTTTGAACCAAACGATACATCGAACCATTATCGAATACGGTCTATTCTTACTGTCTCCCTGTTTTCTTTCGCCATAAAATTCATTGAATGCATTATGGAATCTACAGTTTGGTGTTACCTTTGATTGAAATGGTAAAACTGCATTACTATTTCCACACCAATGCTGGGAAATTGTGGGTCCAAGGGAGTATGTGGGTAAATATTGCACGCAGGTAGATTGGCCTAGCAATTTTAACACACAAATGAACCACTCACTCCAGAAAGGATATTAAAACCTCATGAACCCTAGAAGGCTTGGTAAAGGATGGAAATAAAAAATCTTAAGATTTTTGCTCTCCAACCCCCCCCCCCTTTTAGTAAGCATCCAAGTCAAATATCCCACCCTAACCCAAATTTATAAAACTGGAAATAATCCAATGTATGATAATAACTTAAAAACTTATTTCAATCGACCCCAAACATCATACCTGGATATTGTCATACCCAAAAAATCACTATCCCGCCTTGACCACGATAGCATAAAAAAAAAAATCTAAAGAAATCCGTGAAACTAATTTCCAAAACTATAAAAAAACTTTACTGATGGATCAAAAGCCCACAATGAAGGTACTATAACTTGCGCCTTCCTTTGTGAAAACACCCATAATATTTTTAAACTTCCTACTCCCTTCGATAGTTTCAGTGCTGAAGCCTAAGCCATTCTCCAAGTTATAAACCATATCAAAACAACCCTAATAAAAAACAACCTCCTGATACTTACTGATTCTAAAAGTTGTGCCGACGTCATATCAAACCCTTACAACTTCCTTAAAAAGTACATAATCATCAATATACTTAAAGTACTCAAAACCCTAATTTACCCAGAAACTTAAAAAAATTCTTATGGTTCCCATCACATACCGGCATTTTCGACAACGAAAAAGTGGATGAATTATGTAATAACTTAGAATTAGCTCTGGATAAACAAACACCCCCAATCCCTTCAACAACTCTCTCCCCTGATACAAAAAAGAAATACTCATAGATTGGCAAAAGGAATGGGACCCTACATCTAACTTTACTGGTAAAGGATTCTACCAAATTCAACCTAAAATTATAACAAAACCTTGGTTTCAAAATCTGGATTGGAGCAAATCAACCATAAATAAAATAACAACAATTAGAATAAGCCGTAACAATTTTCCGGCCCATAATTTCAAAATTAAAACAGCTCTATCCAACCTATGCGAATGTAACCAAATCGGAACAATTTAACATATACTCCCAGAATGTTGCAATAATAAAACAAATCTCTAATACCAACTTTCCCAACAAATTAAATTCCCCGCAACCCTCATTCAAATTCTACAAAACCCTAAACCCATAGTCTACAAAAAATTAGCAATCTTCCTCTCTCACAACAAAATCCAATTGTAAATACCATCTATTCTCTTTCTCATTTCTTCTCATCTTCTCTCTCCAAATTCCACGGCTCTGTCCTAGGTTAGCAATGTAAGTCGTTCCAGTTGAGCCGCTGTGAACCTGAACATAGCCAGGTCTTCTACTAACCATCAAAAAAAAGAAAAAGAAAAGGAAACAATATAAGGCAACCTATCTTATCTCATACAATCTTCACTACTATCCATTTATTTCTTACAGAATACTAACATAAATCCCTACACTTTTTTAAGAAGATTTTTGAGAAGAGAAAAAGATTTTTTAAAGAAACATTTTCCCCATCAAAATCTTCTCCAATACTAAAGTGTATAGGGTATCCCAGATCACCTGTACCAGCCTTTTCTCTTGGTTATTTTAGAGTGCACGAAGTCAGGGACCGCAGGGTTGATTTGAGAATCAACCCTAAGGAACCCGAATTGAATAGTCCCGAAACCTTTTTAGCGCCCCGTAAGGATTAAGGAAGAGTCACGATCCTGAAAGATAGGTTTCCCAACGGAATTTCGATTAAGTTGCATTAAAATTGCAAAGGACGGAGGATGAAAATTTTATTCTACATTGACCCCTAAAAATCCAAATCGGCCCACATCAGGCCCAAAAATGACCTTTTAAGAAGGGAACAACACCTGAGCACCTGAGCACCTCCATAATTTCTCTTTGGTCCCAAAATTATCATAGACTCTCCAAAATAAGATGATACCCCGGGCCATCGACCCCAAGAAATCCGAAGTTCTCGGTCTCGAAACCCCTCTGCCCCCCATGGAGCGTAAACAGGGGAGGGCTCAATTTTTTAAGTCAGGGCTCTCTTCCGAATCGCACATCCAAATTGAAGAATTCAACGAATATAAACCTTAAGTGTACCCCTAGATTTCAAATTGACCCATTCAACGCCCAAAAGTAACTCCCTTTGTTGGGAGGCGGTCTCCCCTGAATATTGCCCTTATTTGGTCGCAAAATTCACGTGGACTTTCCAGAAGAAGGCGGTATCCCCCAGGTAGTTGTCACCAAAGGAGGTCAAGAGATCTTCAAGACCACGACCTTTGGGTTTCTTGGTGTCACTTACCAAGGATGCAACCTTTATCTGGGAGGGTTTACGTCAATTTTGCGACTAAACAGCAAGTGCCAGCTGAGGGGGCCCCGCCCCCTCTTTAGGGGGTCTTTTTTAGGCATTGGGTGGAGCAATTAGAACTCTTGGGGGGTCAATTATATTTTAAATTAGGTACTCTTTGATTTGGATGCCATCAATTTTGCGATTCGGAAGAGAGCCCCAGGCTTGGCCGACTTATAAAATTTACCCCTCCTCCCTCCGCTTACAGTCCAAGGGGGGCTAAAGGGGTTGCGGGATTGTGAAATTCTGATGCCTTGGGGGTTGATTTCATCTTCAACCCTGCGGACCCTGGCTTTGCACCACCTGAAACAACCGAGAAAAAAGCCTGGTACGGGTGGTCAGGGACACCTTGTCCCTGTATCACTAATTCTACTCGTCCAAATAATCAGTATTTATTATTTCATGAAATTATTCCCTTCTCTGACACCTCTGTTTTTTCCCTGTCAACCTGAAGCTCTGTTCTACCTTCCGCATCACCTGATTCAAGTTCAACAGCAAATGTGGCTGGCACAAATCCATTGCAGCATCCGCTTCCTGGGAAGAGTGAAAAAACTTTTCCCCTCCGCAAAACAGGTACCTTGAACAGCCTAACATTTCTTCAGTTTGTATTTTGTTGGTGCGTGGGAAAGCAACTAACACTTTGATGTTTCTGTCTGTGTGGATGTGGTTGTGCGTTTTTTCGCGAATGTGTGGGCGAGGGAGGATGTGTTTATGTGAATGAGTGTGTTAAGAGAGGGAGACAGGGTTACATACTTACCCAGTTAGGATTGAACAAGTGTTGCCTAACTCACATTTCGAGTTGGAGATCCCATGTCCTTATGTGAAGTCATGGTTCCTATGGCTTTAAAAAATGCTTGATTTTGAAAACAAACAAGGCCTTGAAATAGCTTGAATTGTATTATTTACCAGTCACCAGCAGCGGTAAGAGCTCGTTGTTAAGAAATAACGAAGAATCTGACGTCAAGCAGATCATTTGTAAAGATCGCAGTTTACAAAGGAAACACCCTCAAGGAGAGCCCGTAATCGCTAATTCAGACTCCTAATCCTTGCTACGGCAGACGCAGCATAGCAATGTTGCACTCTCTCAGTGTATAGGTAACCCCTCTAAGCATTTTTCTTTGGTAAACTTTAACAAAAAAAAGAAAGAACAGACAAAATCACAATAATCGTATTGATAACCATATTAATAATCACAATACGAGGAGAAAAACGTGGGTTCGGGAAAAAAACCACGAAAACGGTCTTGAAATATGGCTTAATTTTTTGGTTAGCGTTACTGGCTGGTACGGCACCTTCAAATAAAACGTGATTCATTGGTGCCGCACCGTCGAATAAAAACTAAATCGTTGGTACCGTACTGTAAATTAAAACGTTTTTTGTCGGTACCGTATCCTAACTGGAAAAACCTCCAAGTACCGCTAAGGTGACTATCGGATGACTTTTTGGCCACTCAACGGTAATATTTCTACCGCTACGATGACTTAGCAGTTTCTAAGGGAGGCCCGAGAACTGATCTCATCACTGATGAATTTTTGATCAAGATTACGAGCAAACGCCATGTATGGTAATCTTCTGGAGAAATTAGGTAAACTTGGAAATCTGGGACTCGCTAGGAGCATTGGCCTGTTAGCACATGCATTTCTACACGCATTTGTGTGTGCATTAAGTGTTGTTGGTTGCCAAGGGCATCTCCCATATTTTCCTAGATCAGTTGTGTTTTCATCGGTTACAACAAAGAAAAATTCCCTCCTCACGACGGTGCGCCCACGGCACTTGGTCTTCATGTTGGCAGCAATGACGACCACATCCAAAATTCTCGACCCATCTCCCGAGAAATGTCGAAATCGACAAGTGGATGGATGCAGATGTTTGCCAAAATACATCAAGCAACTGACTTTACTCCTTGACTTCAGCGAAACTTTTTCGCCTTTAGTATGCAACCCTGCCGATGAGGCTGAAAAAGTCGACTAAATCCTTTCCCAGAAATTCGCCTTTTATTTGGAAAACCTGTGCGGTAGAATGACAATCAGTTTACGGTAAAAAATTAATCTGGTGAAGTTATCGTATCGGTAGAAAGTTATCCGATTAGTGTTAAAAAGTCATCTAGCGGTAGAAAGTTTTCCAGTTCAAAAAGTTATCCGGTGAAGACACCTTGGCGGTAGAAAATTTTCTGGTTTACGGTCCAAAAGTCATCTGTTAAAGTCACCATATCGGTACTTAGAGGATTTTTCAGTTAGGATATGGTATCAATGAATAACTTTTGATTCGACAGTAGACTGTACCTACGAATAACTACCTCGTAATTTTCAATTCTTGCAGCTGCATAAACCATAGAAATATGCGTAAGGTAAATGGGTCATTCCATGTCAAAACAGTTAGCGGCGAAACCTCAAGACTAACTTAGAGCGTGAATGGGCTGCAAGCGTGGTGCACTTGCTGAGGCAATGATACCTATAACACAATAATGAAATTAAAATTAAATGAAATTAATGATAATGCAAATTGAGAGTACCTATCTTACAGAATTGCTTCCATTACATTAATGTATACAATAGTGTATTTGCATAACCAATCACTCAAACAGACAGAGAAGGAAGCTAGAAATAGACCAGAAGACAAGGTACGAATTTTAAGCATTCTGATACCTGTGTCTCACTTAAAATTTGCTGTAGAACACGATTCGAGCAATGAAGATTGCTGGATTGACTCCAAACTGAAATATTTAGTGTTTTTAGATGCGTGAATTCAAACCTCCAGCTCATGAAGAAACAAAACTCAGCATAAATCCAATCGCACACCAAACGTTTTCTTAATTGTCATTGCAGCATGAAAATATGACTTTCTCAGACTTGGCGCTTCGATCTAGTCCTTGCACGTTGTTTATACTTAAACAACACAGGGTGGAGCAGTGTTATCCCTTCTCAGTGCAACTCTGCTCGATTAAGAAACGTGCCCAAACTGTTGTAATGCGCGATCTGACTCACGTTAAGTATGGTTTTTCTCGTAATCGGACGATTCAAATTCCGTAACCAATGTAAAATAAGAACGTCAATATTTCAGTTAGGAGTTGATTTCAGTAATTTTCATCGCGCAAACCGTATTCTATATGAAATTCTGGTATAGAAACATTCATTAGAGAACTTAAATATGACCCTGTCTACTGGTCCATGGCTCTGAAATAATTCAATGCTTTTGTTAATTTCTATTGTTTGGTTTTTTCTAAATTAATTTTAGTGTATCAAATTATGCATGACGTTTTTTGTGTTTTCAAATTAACTCCGAATAACTGTGTGAATTTTTTGTGTGACACTTACAGCATCTGAACCAAATATTCCTAAAAATAAAATAATGAATAAGCAGCATGTTCGATTCAGTCCATTAGCTCAAACTGGACATTTGCGGGACTTACATCATCGGAAGAAGTTACTCGCAAGTATGTTTCTGTGCAATTTTTCTGCAGCTCTCGATTTTATTCTATTGGAAGAGAAAATTTGTTTGAACTCTTGAAGTATTACTCACCTCTCCTTACTATTCAGCTATTACTATTCGGTTATTTCAGATAACAAGAATGGATTTGTTTCTTTTGAGACTAAATCCAGTTGTTAGTTTCAGCCAGTATATATTTTTAGGTTTTTTTAATTTTTTGGTGTGTGCGTTTTCTTTTTCGCAATCAAATTTTATGGAAGAAGTTTGCTACAGAGGTTAAAGCAAACGTGACTTTCCCCCTCCTCATCTGTTGAGGGGGGGGGGGGTTGTGTATCCAACCAGTATTCTGAGAACTCGCCTGATTCTATGGCTAACCCCGACAGGAGTCACCAGAATATGGCGTCTCAGCCAAAGTGTTAAGCAGATTCTTAAGACAGCTGACCTGCTAGCCAATCAAAAGTCATTCCACTTAAAAGGAGGATACAGTTAATTTAGACCCGTTTCATCAGTATCAGCGTAGAATGTAAGGAGAACTGCTAAAATGTGGTCTCTCAGATCTGAGAGAATAATCAATTTTCTCAATATAAAATGAGCATAATAGCATTGAATTGATTCTAAAACTGTTGCGCTAATCTCAAATATTATGTTTTGATGTTTTGGATCCTAGATCCGTTGAAAGTAGTAGCATTTGTCCCAACACCAAGTTTTCGCATGTAATATTAAGAAAGCAAAATTAATTTAATGAACTAGGTTAACATAAATACAAATAACATATAAGTTTAAAATATAAATATAAATAACACATATACATGTATAAAATATTTATATTGAAAATGTAAATTGAAATAAGATACTTTGTTTTTCCTTTTAAGCCGGCTAATTATCAATAATAATAACAATAAACAACCCATTTGGGTAGAGCCTACGGGTGCCAGAGGTTGGTACAGCCAAACAGCTCTACCCAAATGGGTTTACATTGTTATTTTAACAAAATATATTTAATGCTGCATATATTAATATCTGCAAAAAATAATATCAACGGGCGAATTTTTAAGTGAATGGCAAATTCTTAGAGTACAATAGAGTAGAAATGTACCGGAGCGCCAATGAAGTCAATCCTTAGACGTCGCATTTCTAGCCTCCTGCTCGCCGGGAGGTGAGAACGATCTGGGAGCCAAACTGCATTGTTTGACACGGCGGCTCATGGGAGATTCGCGGACCGTGAGTGGTTTTCGGGGTTTATCAATTTAAATCCACAATTATTTTCCAGAATTTTGGCGAACCATGTTTACCAAAGTCATAACAAATTGAAATATGTACGAAACTCCCGGTTTTTGTGGAATAAAGGGGTGTATGCAAATCGGCAAAATTTTCCCACATGGATTTTGACCAATTTTCAACATATCATTCTTTGTTACAGGATACGCCATTTCCCAAAATTTCAAGGTCTAAAATGAATTTCTTTCCGTGTAGCAGCGTTGCCAAATTGAAAACTGTTGAGTTCCATATCTTCTTACATGAGAGTCATCATTCACTTCCTAAGACCTTCGATGTGATAATTAATCCAATTCTTGGCACTTTAGGACAATTTTCTTGAAAATTTGGCAATGTAGGGAAAAGTTACATGTATACTTTTATTCATTTTTTTACGTTCCTTCCAAAAAGGTACACAACTTTCAGTTTAAATTAAGTAAAATTAAAAAAACCCTAAAAATGTGTCAAAAATGGCGGTAATGGACAGTGAGGTCCCTCTAAGTTCATTGGAGACCTTTTTAAACGCCAGAAATAGGAATTACGCACCAAAATACATAGAAATGACCTCGTAAAGCTTGTTGGTGGCAAGGGAGGGAGTGTGCAGATGACTCCGAGCGCCCAGATTCCAGTTGGCGTGCGCAAAACGTAAACTTTGATGGCTCATATCTTGAGTACCAATTGTTTCCCTGGGAGGTATAATGTATCAAAATGAATGGAAAAGTTTGACAAATGAAATGAACAGCTTTTTGTTCGAATCGAGAATCCGGCATTTGATGATGTATTATAGAATTTAATAAAAATTGACCCCCAAGAAAGTGTGAAAAATGGCATCATTGCAATCTTATACTACCTAAACAATCAAATTGACTGCATACTTCAAGAGAACGCAAGTTTTGAAGAATTTTAGCGCATATCGCACCTCAATATCTTTTTTCATTCGAAAGATATGGAACTCAACAGTTTTCAACTTGGCAACGCTGCTACGCTGAAAGAGATTCATTTCAGGCCCTAAAATCCTATTATGAGGAATGACATATTGAAAATTGGTCAAAATCCATGAGGGGGGAAATTTTGCTGATTTTGCATACACCCCTTTTGTTCCGCATCCCCAGTCGCCGCACACTGGTCTCAGGAATATTGGACAAAACAACCTCAAATTGTGCCTTCATAGGTGCTCCAGCTCATAGCGACTCTATTGCTCTCTAAGGCAAAACTCAATTGATGGTTATTCAATCTTCAGAGATCTTACCAAATTCGTACTTGCAAAGACTCATGAGTTTTTTTTTAAATTTTTTCAGTGAGCAATAACTGTGAATCTGGGCCGAATTCCCCTCCAATTATTTTAAGTAGCAGTCACGTTTCCCCAGCTGGACACAATACTCCAATTGCAGAGGTAATCTTCTTCATTCTTGTCAGAAGACTCTCTTCTTTTTTACTTTGTTCATTCATTATACCTAGTCTGTTAAAGGTTGGAAGAACCGTGGCCAATCAGCATTAAGTAATTACACTATTTTGCAGAATGGAGGTGTCTAGGGTGTTTTTTTATTTTTTAAAATTTTCGAATTCGAAAGAGGTCCTGGTCCTAAAAGTTGATGTGTGGCTAAATTAGAAGCCTTGCCCAAAGAAAAAAAATTATAAACAATTTTTACCCTATGCTCAAATGACGTGACATATGTCGAAATTTGAGGTTTTTAGATAAAATAACACGGTTGTCCTGCGGGAAACGCCGAGTCACGGCTCTAAAGACTAAAAATTTCGTCCGTTTGGTCGCATCTGCGATACATGAGCCGCAAAACACCCGAGAATGGCGTGCGAAACGAGATACACTAGGAGTAAAACGGGCACGCGTCCTCTGCTCTGCTTTAGCATCATGCTGCACGCATGCACCAAGCATACGCGAGCCCGAAAGTTCCTGTCTGTTGCAACACATCATTATGAATCGACCTTGATACACTATACTGTTAAAAAATAGTTGGAATGTATAAATAAATACATCAAAAAGACAAAGCAAAATGTTCGATGTACTTATGCAGGAAAATCACTTTCAACAAATCAACCAATTCAAAGTCAAATCAACTGAACCAAATATTCAACAGCACACATAAAGGTTTAGAGCCTCAAAATGTTTATCAGACTTTTTTTTTAAATTTATGAATGGTTTTGTCGACTTTGGTTGCGACCTGTAAGAGATCATGTAAATTGTCTTCAAATGTGAACTTAGACATCAGATGAAATGCATGTTCTGGCGGACAGGCGGATTAGGCATCCCTTCATAGTGTTTTATGTTGTGAACAAAGACGTTCATGTTGTTTTCTGTGTATCCGATGAAATTCTCTCATCAAATAATGCCAAGGAAACCAAACTTTCACTTGCATAGGTACCATAAGTGGTTAGATACCTTATGGAGTGCAACTAGAGCTGCCAAACACCTTGAGGTCTGCTATGACCTCTAGGTCATTTTTGGGGGCCGCAATACGAAAAATGTCCTCCTCAATGTGTACCTATGCCGAAGAATGCTCGGTAATGCCAAACCTCTCCTTAACCAACAGTATGGCTTTTTTTTTCAATATCATAGATTTGCCATTGGGTGCCCAATGAGAGGTTGGAGGGAATTGAGGTTGGAAGATTGAAGCAGAAATGTTAAGGTGCTCAATACCTCAAGGGTTGTGGTTCGACAGACAGCAGTAGAGGTAAGGTGTCAAAGAGCGCGATTGAGTGCTATAGAGTGACCTATATGTATGTATGGTTGATTGGTAGGTACGTTTATTTGGTGCTTTTAACAATTTAGCCATTTACACCTTGGAGGAGAGACCAAAATGTGGTACAGAATTTAAAAATTTAAAAAGTAGGGGTCATTAAAGGTAGTGCAATGTTAAAAGTTAGGACAAGGAAATAATACATTAAATTCGGAGATTAATTCGTTTGAAAAAGAGAGGAATTTTATGAAAATACTTTGGAAGGATGGTATGGAGATCAGAAAGTGGAGGGAAAATTTTGGATCTTAATTATTGATATGTAGGGCAAGTTATTAAAAACATGTTTAACTGAGAGGGGGACATTACAAGAGATGCAGGTTGGGGGTTGGACTTTCTTGATTATATATTGGTGGGTGAAAGATGTTTGCCCAATGCACAGCCTGGTTAATTTTACTTGATCTGCTCGTGGTAGACCAGGAAGTTGAGGGAATACGGACATTGGAGGATTTTTATGTTGGCAATACACTGTCCACTCTTGTTGCCAATTTGTGAAGATTTCTCTTTTGATGTAATTGTTGAGGTCCTCGGCTGTGACAGTCAGGGGGAGGAAGTGGCCAGCAGATGAAGCGGCTTCTTTCGACAGAGTATCAGCCTCTGTGTTTCCAGCAACGCCTACATGTCCCGGGCACCAGCAGAGAGCAGTGGAGAAATTCAGGGAGAGAAGATGATGTAGGGAATTTTGGATTTGGATAATGAGTGGATTGGAACCAGGGACAGTTTGGAAAGCAGACAGAACACTCAGTGAGTCAGAGCATATAATGGCTTTTTTGCCTTCTGTCTCTTGAAGAAAATTTAATGCTTGGAGTATAGCAAAGGCTTCGGCAGTGAAAATTGAGGCAATAGGAGACAGCTTGAAGGATCTTGACTCATTTTGTGTGATAAAAGCACACCCTGTTTGGCTGTTCTCAAGCTTGGAGCCGTCAGTGTAGATTTGTTGATAATCTTGATAATTTTCCAATGTTGAGAAAAAGTTACTTCGTAACTCGGCATGGGATGTGTCGAACTTGGGCGAAGAGTAGGAGTTGAGATGAATTTCAATTTCAGGAGGGGTCCAAGGAGGAAAATTGAGATTTGCAGCTTGAATAACGTCAGAAAAATTGTACTTACAAGGGGAACTTACGAACCTGCCGCCTCCGATTGGGCTGAATTTTTTTTTACAGGCTCTTTGAACCAAGTCTAGAGGTCAATTTGAGCCGTTTTCCCGAATGCGCAATAGGGAGGGCGTAAAAAATTCCCAAAAGTTGCGTTTTCGGCGTGTGATTTGGTCGTGCGGCGCGTGGCAACACTGACGCAGCCTCTTGTACCACTTTATCGGCTCATCGGTGTCGGTGGAGACCAGAGCCCTACTGCACAGGTGCTGGCCCCATGTTAGGGAGGTACCGGGATCGGTCCCCGAGTGAATCGTCTACTTTTTATTTTCCACATGATAACGTTACATTTTATTTTTAATTTTTCATCAGCATTTATAAATCAAGCAGTTCCCATCACTATCCCCCCCCCCCTTATTTTACGTACATTTTCCCTCGATATTCATTAACATTGACTGCCAATAACCGTATGAAACTTCATTGACATAAATTAATGAATTAAAAAGCAAAGGGCCAAAATAATGTGTTTCTTGGCGGCCCTTGCATGCACATGGGTTTGGGGTTGCTCTTCGATTTATTTACACATTACATATTTTTCCAGGAAAACATTGGGAGATAATGTAGTAACAAATAAGGTTTTCTTTTGCTTTTTAATTCATTAATTTATGTCAATGAAGTTTCATACGGTTATTGGCGGTCAATGTGAATAAATATTGGGGGAAAATGTACGTAAAATAAGGGGGGGGAGGATAGTGATTGGAACTGCTTGATTTATAAATACGGATGAAGAATTAAAAATAAAATGTTACGTTATCATGCGGATAATGAAAAGTAGTCAATTCGTTCGGGGACCGAACCCGGGACCTCCTTAACCTGGGGCCAGCACCTGTGCAGTAGGGCTCCAGTTTCCACTGACACCGCTGGGCCGATAAAGTGGTACAAGAGGCTGCGTCAGTGTTGCCACGCGCCGCACGACCAAATCACACGCTGAAAACGCAACTTTTGGGAATTTTTTACGCCCTCCCTATTGCGCATTCGGGAAAACGGCTCAAATTGACCTCTAGACTTGGTCCATAGAGTCTGTAAAAAAAAATTCAGCCCAATCAGAGGCGGCAGGTTCGTAAGTTCCCCTTGTTAGAAAAGAAAGTATCATCGTATGTATGTACGTGTGTATGTATGTTAGTATGTATGGTTAGTTGGTAAATACGTTTATTTGGTGCTTTTTACAATTGAGCCATTAACACCTTAGAGGAGAGATCAAAATATAGTACAGAATTTAAAAATTTAAAAAGTAGTGGTCACAAAAAGGTAGTACCAAATTGAAAGTTAGGACAAGGAAGAATACATTAAGTGGAGATTAATCCGTTTGAAAAAGAGAGGGATTTCATGGCAATACTTTGAAAGGATGTATGTATGTATGTATCTGCCATTTTAATTTCTAGACTCTAACCTAGTCACATAGTCATTTACTTCCGAATATTTTGAGGTAAAAAAAAGAGTTAAAACATAAGAGTTGTTAATGATCATGCTGAATCCAAAATTAAAGTGATTTCCCCGCACCAGAGGAGAATATCATTGGAAGACAATGGAGTTCTCGCATATGTCAGGAGTTGGCAATTTAAGTACTGATTCCTAAGTATAATTTCTCGGTAAACACGATGGTTTCACCGCTTTCTTGTAAAACAAACTCTAAAACTGAAACAAGCTCTCAAAGTTGATGCCCTAATAGAGAGGATATTCCTCGCTATTCTGAGAGTCCACCTCTGTAGTAAGTTAAACTCTCCATACAAAGATGGGAGCAAATACATTGACAGAGTTGTCACTTTGTTTGGGGACCCCAAAACTGAAAACACGGCAACCCTGCTAATTTATTTCCTTCCTATCTTTGTATGGAAAGTTTGGCTTGATGCAGAGGTGGACTCTCTGGATAGCAGGGATATCTCCTCCACTACAGCCTCAACCTTGAGACTTCTTTTTAGTTTTGGGGTTTGTTTCAGAGGAAAACCAGTGAAACCATCGTGTTTCGCGCGAAGTTTGGAAAAGAAATCAGTATCTCCTTAAATCGCCAAATCCTGACGCAAATAAGGGCTTCATTTTCATGATCTCTCACAGGTTGCTGCCGAAGTCAACAAAACCATTCATAAATTTTGAAAAAATGTCTGATAAACATTTTGAGGCTCTAAACCTTAATGTGGACTGTTGAATATTTGGTTCAGTTGATTGACTTTGAATTGGTTGATTTGTTGAAATTAATTTTCCTACATACATCCAATATTTTACTAATTGTATTTATACATTCCAACTATGTTTTATCGTCATAGTGTATCAAGGTCAGTTCATAATAATGCGTTGCAACTGACGGGAACTTTCAGGCTCACGTAAGCTTGGTGCATGCGTGCAGCATGTTGCTAAAGCAGTGCAAGGAATGCGCGACCGTTTTACTCCTAGTGTATCTCGTTGTTTAGCGGCTCATGTACCGCAGATACAACGAAACAGACGAAATTTTTGGTCTTTGGAGCCGTAACTCGGCGTTTTCATCAAGGAAACAGTGTTATTTTATCTAATAACCTCAAAATCTAACCTAAGTTACGAAAGTTGTTTGAGCACCGTGTAAAATTTGGTCTGATGCACATATTTTCTTCAATTCATTTTCTAAAAGTGTGTATCATTCTGAGCTGAATGAATTTTCCCAGAATTGGAATTTGGACCCCCCAAACACCCCCCAAAAAGCTCCTGAAAGTTCAAAAAATTTTGGCGGGAAATTTTAAAACTACGAATGACGCAAGAGTGTAGCCATTTTGTGACGTCACAACCAGTGCCCTACGTTTGTTTATTTTACAAATACATGAATTTCCCCATAAGGAATCAAGAGGCAAATTTTCAAAAGGAATGGGTCTGTTGCACTCTGGAGGAATTTGGAGAGTATTGAACCCATCCTATGTAAATTTTCACGAGAAAACGGTTGGTGTGGTTAAAAACACTCTTACTTTGATTATAAAACTGCAAAAGCTAAATAAAGTTCCAACCGAGGCCTCTCATTGGTCGGCTGCGTCAAAACCAGCATGCTTATTTTCCGCCGTTTCAAAGCACCTGTGTTTCCCCATGAGGAATCCAAAGTCGTTTTTCTGGAACGAGTTTAGGTCAATTTGTAACTGATTTTACCAAATTTTCTTGCAGATATCAGTTCTTCACATCCTCTACTTTACAACTTCATCAACGAATGTGTTAAAATCGCATCATATTAAAGCTTAACACATGTAAGGAAGTCCCGAAAGTGTGGTTATGTCTCCCTTAAGGGGTTTCCGCTGGTCAAGTCAATGCTATTTGCCCGTTTTTGCTCAAATATATCAACGCATGTATTGGATATATTGTGTAAAACCAAGTTTGTATTCATTATTTGACTCTGAATGATGACTCTTTGTCCCAGTATTTCAGTGCATACTATGTATGAGTGAGGTATTCCTGATCCGTCCTGCTTACTGCAACAGCTACCTTCCATTGGAAGTTTTAGAAATAAGATGGGAACTATTGACTTAAATATTTACCCCGGATATCATAACTGTATCGTTTTTGTATATACTCTTTGCATCATTAGTTGTAAGTAATTATCAAAATACCACACACTCATCCAAACAGGCACTGAATTAATAAGAGGGGGTAACTTATCAACTGGGCGGGCGATTAAGGACCTTCAACAGTTCATAGCTGGTGCTTGGTTGGCGGAGAATCTTACCTTATATAAAATTTATGGCATTTTCAACTAATTTACTTATGAGCAGACAGATTTAAACAAGTAAATATGTTCAAATGAGATTACATTTATCCCTCAGCTACTGAGTCAGCTAGCGCAGTGGAGCGAGACACATTTTATGCAAAAAAGTAGAACCTAAGGATCCAATATCCAATGATTTAGATGCAGAAAGCTGCATCATGCCATGGCAGATAGTTTCTGGGAATAAGGAAACTAAAACTACATCTTATGAGAGTTTTACCATGAAAAAAGGACTTATGTGTATCCCAGGTATGATTGTAAACATAATCTCACTTTCGTGACATGCTTTGATACATCGGAAATAAGTAAATAATCTAATGCAATTTGTAAGTTTCTAGGGATGTTTGTATCAAGTAGAGAGTATAAAGAGTCTTTTATCGCAAGAAAATTTGATGAATTCTTTCCAGCTTTCCAACAATGTTTCTGCTTTGTTGCCAAATGAATACATTTAGAGAGTAGCTAGAGAAAAGCGCTCTGAAGAACAAATCGTCAATGTTGTAGACCGTCTCAAACTCTGGTCCGTAGGCAAAATGTAAACATTACTTCCCAGCCCTATTCTTCTTCTTCTTCATCAGAGAAGTGCTGGGAGTGAACCCTCGTTGGCATAAGCCTGTATGTTCTGTAACAGGAGGCTGCAGGCCAGCACAGTGGGCCCATGACGGTTTTCCCTGGGGTTTGAGCCAGGAGCATTAAGTTCCTGGTGCGTGGCGCCATGCGCCATGCCTGGCAACTCATTAACAACCTTCTATGCAGTGTGGGGATGGTTCGATGCCTTGACATCTAACAATGGCTCGAATGCTATCTGCTTCAACATAGGTAATAAAGTTAATTCAGATTTCCATGGTTCTTCCTGGCTTGAACAGACTTTAAAGTTAACCATTTTGAAAATTAGCTGCCCTTGCAACTAGGGTCTCTCGGCAATTAAGTCCCTGCTGCATTCAAAATAATATTCCTAGAAAAGAACCAAGTGCACTAAGTATCTGTCTGTGAATTAGTCTTCCCATCAGATACAATCTCCCAGAGGGTCCTTTTCTCTGATTTGATTTCGCCCATTATAATTTGAATAAGGAACACAGATCCATTTACTAAATATTCAAGTAATTAAATATCATTTACTTGCATAATCCGTAATGATTCGGTCTTCTTTTGGTTTCGAATTTTTGTAATAACTTACATATTTTTCAGATATTGATAAAGGTAACTTTACTAATGTACTTTCCTTTACCCTACTTTACTTTACACTATATTAATGATAGTGATCCGTTGTATACGTAATCGCCTGCCCTGTATCACACACAAGTTCTATAGAGCTCTGGACTCCCACAAGAGTCTATGTAAAAATCCGTGAACACTTATTAGTGGTGCGACCTCAAGTAAGATGCTTCAATTTACTGCTATTATTAGTTGTTGGACTTCACATAAATTCATTGGATCACATATATCTGCTAGAAATCGATTTTTCTGCGTAGTGCTACTGAGCGGCGGTTTTCTCAGTTGAATGAAGATGTCAGGAATATACTTATTATTCAAAAGGTCAGCCGCCTTACAGGTTATTTTTCAATTATTGGCTTAACCTCACTTTTGTAGTGGGCCATGGATGGGTCGAGGTTTGGGGGGTAGGATCCTCTTGAGTTTACAAGGATCCTTTGAGAGATTGGGCTGTATGCAGCAAAACATGGTGTCCTGTAGAACTCGTCCCTGCCTTCATGCAGTATTATTTTCCATTTGAACCGTCGAAAATTTTAAGTAAGCAGCGTTTTAATTAAGTGATGTGCGGTGCTGGCACGAAAATTCTATTAACAGAGATATACCGCACAGTTTAGCGGCAACACTAGAAGATCCTGGAAGCTTACAGACATCAGATGCAAGTATGAAATCAATAGAAATTCTTGTCAGTTGATATTAGCATGGTAATGGAAAAGTGAAAAAAAGACAGCGTTATTGCAATTGATCAAATTGGAATCTGGAACCTTAGGGTTTCCATTCGTTTATTGCAGAAAGAACCGCAGCCGATGAAACTGATAGGGACTTTGCAGCTCAGCTATTCTCATGCCACATACCCCTCGACGTAAACTTTCGAGGCTTGCCATGTTTATATTAGTAGAATAATGAGACCAGTATATTAGCAAGATAAGTGAGCCTAATGGAACTTATTAAACACATCTTAAAGTGAAGCTCACCAGATTGCATTATCCTACTTTCACGTTATGTTTTAAATTCCTTTACCTGTTTTCATTCCATATCCTCTACTTGTTTATGCGCAATTCTTGAACTTCCAGGTCTAGCATTGGAGGACTTAAGTTCAGTTACAAAAAATAAAAACGAAACTTTAATGGATATTCAGTTACTTCTTTGCATCATGAGTTTACTCTAAAAAATTTCTGTTTGATAAATTTTTAATTTTTTTTTGTCTCAAAATAAAATGATCCATACTTTTGCTATTATTCTCACAGGAAAATGAACCAACTTACGGAAAATTGACTGCCAATGAACAGAATGGTAGTCTAAGTGATCTTTCGTCTTTATACAGTTCCCCATCTATGCCCAATATTTCCTTGGGGAGACCTCCTACCGCTAGTGTAAGTGTAAGCTTTAGCTTTATTTGTTTGTAAAAATTTCATCCAGGTGATTTTTCCTGGAAGGATCTTGCATGGAAAACCAAATAATTTGACATCAGCTTAATTTTGAAATTTTTGGTTATGATGCTCTTCATGACTGCCTGAGCACGATATGCTTTTCATTGAACTTTCTGAGTGCCATTGTTGAGAAAAACTGGACTGAAAGGTGAAATTTTTAGCATTCTTATGCACTTTTCTCATGAGAATGTGGGCCTTATGTTGTGTGCGTCAGTGGATGCTGTTCTTAATGCTGTTATCACTCAGAGGAATTTGATTCTTTTTTGTCTGTCTTATCATCTGGTACAGTGCTCCTGAAAGGGGTTTAAATTTTGATTGATTCCTCATTTATGCCTGCCCAAATACTGAACTTCTGCAAAAATTTACTCTCAAGTGTGTTTAAAACCGTACGTTGAATTCTCCCATTTCATCTATGAGAAAAAAGGACCCTACATGGAAAATCAAGGAATTCACTGATTCTTCATTATTATTCGATATCAATGAAGTTAAGTCGATAATAAAGTTGAATAGCTGCAGCAAATTAACTGTGCTAAGGTAGCATGATAAATTACTTTGTAATTTAAAGCTAGAATGAAGGGAAAAATGAGGAACTAATTATTTTAAATGAAAAAGTATAAATTAATATTTTAGTGAAAAATCTTAGATTAGATCAAAAGACAAGAAGGCCCTTATACCAATGGGTCAATGTCACACCTGATGTACCTTGTCGTTTCTAGGGCATGATAATCTTTAAAAATCGAAGTTTCTGCATTCCAATTTCAGGAATAGCAGGGCTGAAACGTGATTTTTTCAGCAATTAAATTCAGATAGTTGAGTAGAAATGTTGCGACTTCAGATTGATGTTTGAAAAAAGCTATTCTTTCCTCAGCAATCATCCAGGAGGGTGCTTCTGAAAAGGGTTTAAGTAGGAGTTGGTCGTGACTTAAAAATTTGAGCTGGAATGTCAAGAGGAGCACTACCAGATGCTAAAAACCACAATTTCGAAATCCCGTATCGAAGCTCCTGGAGAAATAATCGTGATTTTATGGTTTTTTAGGCTTTTTTCGGAAAATAGGCTCATGTAGGGCAACTAAATTTCCCTCCTGCCCCATTTCTTCTTGAATTGATCTGAATTTTTAGTCTGCTATTTTCTGGTATGAAGTAAGACTTCCCTGAAATTTTCATGACCGAAAATTTTTTTTGCTCCTGTTACAACATTGCAAAGTTCCTAACTTCAAAATTGTGGATTTGGCAAAAATAATTGTGACACTGGCCGCCTGCTTCTTGGATCGGTCGGAATTTTTAGTATGATACTCTGCGATACAAGGTGAAAATTTTCTGAAATTTTCATGGCTGGAAAATATTTTTTCCTCTCGTTGCAACGTTGCCAAGTTTTCAACCTGAAAATTTTGGGGTTGGAGGTAACACGATGGCATGGGCCCATGTCTAAATGAATTGATCTGAATATTTAGTATGTTACTCTCCCATAGAAGTAGCAAATTCCCTGAAATTTTCATGACCGGAAATTTTTTTTCCTCCCGTTTCGACGTTGCCAAGTTTTGAACTTTAAAATTATAGATTTGACCATAAAATGATGGCGTTTGGGCGGGATACCTTGCTGAATTTTCTTTATTTATGAGTCATTTTACGGAATGTTTCACTAATTTGTCCCTTCAAAACTGTAAGATTGCCGTGTTGCCGTTTTACTACTTTTATTCCGGATGAATGTACCTATGCTGCATCTTGCTGCATTCAAAAATGTACACAATTTTTGGATTAAAATAAGTTTTGAATGTGTTAATTGGAAGAAACCCCTAAAAATTGGCCAAAAGTGGCAACAATGGACCATAAAGCCCCTTAAAAGTCACCGGAGGCCTTTTGTAAGGCTGGAAATGGAAAGTACGCAAAAAAATATGTACGGTTTCGTTCATGAATGAGTGATAACAGTCGAAAAAATTGATGAAAATAATTATTTTTCAATTCCAGGATTTTGGGTTTGAGGCGCTGCTGTGCCCTTGCACAGGCTCCGTTCGGTGAAATATTTGACATAGAGTCTACCCTAAGACTAGTAAGAAAATATGAAACATTTAGCAAAATCCAGGTGGGGCCGGAAAAGGCCCAAAACGATACTTCTCCTTTTTGCAGAAGTTTAGTGTTTGGGCAGGCATAAATGAGGAATCAATCAAAATTAAACCAAGCGATGAATTTATGTTTTAAAAAAATTCTATGTATGCTCATCGCAAACCTAATGCAACAAGACCTTGGTTTATTGGATTCCAAAATATCAGATTCTGCAATTCATTTGGTCGGTTTGTGGGTCTTTTCATGGGGACTCATTATATCAGTGTTGAAATATCAGACTTGATCATTTTGAAAATCACGGTCAATTTCAGTGTGGTGAATCAAATTAATGAGGATTTCATTCTTTAGCTTTGAAGTTTTATCCACAAAAACTTGGATTTTTCCTTATCTTTTAATTTTAATTTTTTATTTTCATTACTGTGGATAATGATCTATGCTAAAATTCAATCCTTTTACCTATGAATTTTACCGTTATATCATCGCAATGTTCTATGGCTGTGACATCAGAGTGACTTATAAACAATACATGCTTTTCAAAATTTTTAGCTTTGCAGCACCTCTACATTTTACAAAGGCTCAACCTTTTCTTTTCTGTCAAAATTATAGGAAGGCAGCAAACTGGCAACGGTGTCCGAAGCTGAAGTCAGGGCAGCGTGTGCTGCAAAACTTGGCGTTCCTCTTACTGGACACATGCTGTCCGGCACTATCCCATTCTTTCCCACTCTAGCTGGTACATATATCTGTCTCATGTTTAATTGCCCCCTTTCGTCAGTACTCTCTTCCTTATCACTAATATTCATAAGCCCTTGCATGACAAATTGTATTCTACAATACTCTCAGCCAGGATGGACCACCAATTTCCCTAGAGACTTCACACAAATTTGCCCTTTTTCTTTCTAAACCAAGGGAAGTAAAGAATCTTCAAAAAGGAGAAAAGAAAACGAAAGACCTGAGTTTTTGATGTGAAAATGTAAATTTTAGATCACAAGTCACCAACACAATTTTACTTTAATGTTAATATTATGGAAAAACGAGTAAAATTGTGTCCTAAAAGACGAGGGAGCATTTCTTCCATCAAATTTTTAATATGTATTTTTTTTCCTTTAATTTCTACTCTTTCAGCTATAGATAGTGATTATCACAATTCCTCATCTAGTAATATCCATAAGCCAACGCAGTCATTAGAACAATCAAGACCTAGTTATCCTATTTTATATCATCCTTCAACGCAGCCAATCACGGATTCTCAGGTATTATTTACCAATACAAAGTTTTATTTTTTAGGTACCTATTCACTAATGAAAGATAAGAAGCTGTATCAATGGCCGAAAGGTGAAACCATGTATCTTTGTTTGCAATGCGGCTCTGTTTTGTTGAAAACTTCCTTGATTTTTCCTCTCTGTTAGCAAAATATTCCATTTAAATTTCAAGCTTTAAACTCGGCTCGTTTCTCTTCTGAAAAATTAAACAGGAACAGAAATAACCCCGCACCATCCTTATGGGAAATCCCCTCTTGTAAAACCTGATGAAACTTTGATATGTTGCTCAGCTAGTCATTCTGATCAAAAGCTCTCACGGGCCCAAAGAGATCCCATGTGCGGTTTTTGAGATATTCGCAGTTTTATATGCAAGAAACGGAGGTCCCGCCGGCGGGACCATCGTGCGGCACTACTCGTACCCTTCCCTTCCAGTCCTCTCCAGACCTTTTCCGCTTCTCCACCACCCGTACCCGAGGCTCGGACTCCGACGCTCATAAGGCTTTGCTCATCGTCACCGGGCCAGGTGGTCTTACTACCACCCAGATAAGACCACCGAGCCACGGGTATGGGTGGCGGAGAAGCGGAGAGCGGCTGGAGTGGACTGGAAGGGAAGGGTACGAGTAGCGCCGCACCATGGTCTGACCGGCGAGACCTTCATTCACGCATATAAAACTGCGAATATCTCGAAAACCGCACATGGGATCTCTTTGGGCCCGTGAGAGCTTTTGATCAGAATGATTAGCTGAGTTAAACTATCAGAGTTTCATCATGTTTTACAGGGGGAGGGGGGGATTTACCATAAGGATGGTGTGGGGTTCTTTTGAAACATTACAATAGGGAAATGTGGTTCTCTTATTAGCTATCAATATCCATGCTTCAAAATTGGAATTTACAAACAATGAAGAATTACAACTTTGTCTCCTGTTCCCCTCAAAATTCTCCCTCAAATTTTGAAAGTCTGCAGAACTCATATGAGACAAGTTGACAATACTTTACTACTGACTTACATGTGTAGTTGACTAATTTTTGCCTTTCACACAAGATGACGGTGTGGTGTTGCCATGGACATGAAGAGTAATTGTGTCCTCCTACAATATGTACAGAATATTAAAAGTAATCTACTGCCTACTGATCTTATTTTAGCTTTATTAGTAAATTAATTTTTGAAACCAAAAAATTAAAATTCATCCCGCGCCTTTTTTAGCTTAATTTTAACTCAAGATCAGATTTGTAATCTTTACAGGGTGACAGAAGTCTGCCAAAAACCAGGAAATGATAAAGAGTGTCCATATTCAGGCTGTTCGCATTTTAAGTAAGAGATATTATGAACTGTAGGGTGTAGTGAAAAGTGAAGCAATATACTGTGGTAAGAAGGCAGAATTTCAAAGGAAGTGAAAAGGCGAGTTTTTGTGAGTGGATTTGGTTAATTTTTCAGCCCAATTTAACAAAATTACCAACTGATGAAGAAAAGCGCTTGCCAGAAGTCAAGAACTGAACTCGGTGGTTCGATAAAGGTGTCCTGATGTGGTCGTCCTTTCTACCAATATGAAAACCACAGTCTATGAGCGCTTCTTGGCCACATTCAGAGGGAAGAGGGTTATACAAAATCGGCGATTTTGCTCCCTCTTGGATTTTGCCCGGATGGATATATTGTTCCCTATCACAAGACACGCCTTTTTCCGGCGTTGGCAAGTTCATCCGAAATTTTTCCCGCGCGCTACAGCGTTGCCAAGTTGAAAACGGGCAAATTCCGTAAGTGGCATTAAAATTGAGCTATGAAGTTGCAGTTTTAGCGAAGATTCTCTGAAAATTGCGCACTTTTACGAAATGACCATCTTTTTAATGTCGCATTAATTTTAACATGCATGATTGCCAATTTTCCGATTTTTAAATTCGACAAATTTTACAAATCCGCAAATACCCAAAAAAGCTATCATCAAAACTGAATGAAAAGTTGTCTAATCGATAGTTCGTTTGATTCCGCATCCATCGATATATTATAGCTTGTGGGGAAACTTTTGGTTCGCGAGATATCATAATTTTAGTAAGAACTTTATGGAGCGACGACGCTTTTTGAGTCCGGGCAGATAGAAATTTTAGCCTCCAAAAACACCGGGTAGCATTAATTTCATGGTTTCCTTTGTAATTTTTGGCGCTGAATCCGACTTTGACCATTTCATAAAAAAATTGTTGCCAAGAAGTTGCCAAACTTGGCAAAAATGGCTTAAAATCGGCCTTTTTTGCGGAGTATGGCCAGTGACTTGCCAGGAGTTGATCAGACGACAAAACTGGTTATTTCCACAGTTAAATCTTGTTAAACTTTCTACAAGCTGAGTCAAATTTTTTCTGCTCGCGGCAAAATCAAACGCGCGACAAGCAGCAAACTGAGAAAAAGACACCAAAATCGGCGCTTTTTGCGGTTTTTGTCCTGAGTTTCTTGTTTTCTGATTAAAAGAATGTTTCTTGACTTAGCTAATGAACAATATTAGCAGAATTTATTAAAATTGAACAATAAAATAAAATCGAACATATTCCAATGTTGCCAAGCTTAAACAAAATATACTTGAATTTTCGCTGGTCTTTTCGATATTTGTCCTATGTTCTTTGTTCACTTCTTATTTTTAAATTTTATGAATGTATCTCTCTCGCAAAACAATACACTTCTGTAGAATAATTTAATTTTCAACTTAGATGTATACTTATAAGTAGGGTGTTTAGTCCAGAGAGGAAAAATTCATAAAACAGTGAGTTTTTTCGAATCGTGTCAATAAATCACATTTTGAAACAAGAATGGAAAAATTTCTGCTGAAAATAAAGGAATAAAATGTACTCATCAGAATGACTTCATTAAAACAAGACAAGGCGCACTGCAATATTGCCAAAATTACGTACAATTGTTGAATTTTTGCGGTACTTGACCATTATCATTCATCGCCCTATCTTCAGTATACATATTTATTTTATAATTCTGAGAAAATGGAGTTTAATAGAAAAAAATAACAATACCAAAGTGAAGAAGACGCCCAGGAAAGGGCAATAAGGGGCCTAAAAAGGAACAAGGGCACTCCAAATTTCTGAGGACCTGTGGGAGGACAAGGAACTATGGCGGTTAGGTGTCGCGGGGCGCGAGAGACCACTGTTAAAGCGGCTCTTATCTATGTATGTAACCATACAATAGTCTGTCGTTACACTCTGTGTAATTCAGATTTTCCTAAGAATGTTCATTCAGACGGAAAACAAGAAACTTAGGACAAAAACCGCAAAAAGCGCCGATTTTGGTGTCTTTTTCTCAGTTTGCTGCTTGTCGCGCGTTTGATTTTGCCGCGAGCAGAAAAAATTTGACTCAGCTTGTAGAAAGTTTAACAAGATTTAACTGTGGAAATAACCAGTTTTGTCGTCTGATCAACTCCTGGCAAGTCACTGGCCATACTCCGCAAAAAAGGCCGATTTCAAGCCATTTTTGCCAAGTTTGGCAACTTCTTGGCAACAATTTTTTTATGAAATGGTCAAAGTCGGATTCAGCGCCAAAAATTTCAAAGGAAACCATGAAATTAATGCTACCCGGTGTTTTTGGAGGCTAAAATTTCTATCTGCCCGGACTCAAAAAGTGTCGTCGCTCCATAAAGTTCTTACTAAAATTATGATATCTCGCGAACCAAAAGTTTCCCCACAAGCTATAATATATCGATGGATGCGGAATCAAACGAACTATCGATTAGACAACTTTTCATTCAGTTTTGATGATAGCTTTTTTGGGTATTTGCGGATTTGTAAAATTTGTCGAATTTAAAAATCGGAAAATTGGCAATCATGCATGTTAAAATTAATGCGACATTAAAAAGATGGTCATGTCGTAAAAGTGCGCAATTTTCAGAGAATCTTCGCTAAAACTGCAACTTCATAGCTCAATTTTAATGCCACTTACGGAATTTGCCCGTTTTCAACTTGGCAACGCTGTAGCGCGCGGGAAAAATTTCGGATGAACTTGCCAACGCCGGAAAAAGGCGTGTCTTGTGATAGGGAACAATATATCCAACTCCGGGCAAAAACGCCGATTTTGTATAACCCTCTATGGTTTTGTTATGATGAAGGCTGGTAGTAAGGCAATGATGTAACCTAGTCCTCTCGCCGAATTTTTACTAATAATTTCAATCTTTATAGCTCATAGAGAGTTTTTGTCTCAGTGCAAGATGGTGACGAATTCAGTATATTTTTTTGTGCTGAGCCAGGAAAATTTGGGAACTTTGAAGTTAAAATAGTCTCAACTTTATGTTTGAAACTGACAGAGCTTGACAGTGCAATTATAATCTTTCTCTTGCAGGTGGCTCTAGCTAGGTTAACGAAACAAGGGCACCGGCCTCTTGGCAGGACGCAATCAGCTCCTCTGCCTCTTGGGCATCCTCTCCTTGCAACGGGGCATAATTTAGGAGTCCACTATGAGGACTGCCAGCAACCATTAACAGCCCACAATTTTCTCAAACAAGTAAGATATTATGTAATTTTTTAGTCACATTTAACTTAATGAATCCCCACCATTTTTGTAATTACTGATCAGGCAGTCGTAGACTATCTATTTATTTATTTATTAAAACTTTGATGGCAGAGAATACCATTTACGAAAACATCTAATACATACAAAAGCATCAAACAAAAAAGAACAATGCTCCCCTTTTATACAATGAAGAAACAGAAGTACATATGTAATATCAAAAAGAGGAAAATTATGAAAAATCAATGAGCCATCCTAATGGAAGAATAACAATGCATCAGCCATAAATGAAATAAGAAGCAAAATTTTGAAATTCAGAATGAGTAAACATACAGCATAGAATATGGAATAGAAAAATAAAGCCAATCGAAAGCGAAAAAAATTAAAATAATGTAAGAAATCAAAAACAAACACGAAATGAACTTGCAGGGGGAGTGGAAAAAAAGAAGCATGACATATGGGAACAAAGTAAAAATCTCAAAACTCCTAAATAAATGAGTTTTGCTTAAAAAACTATTACGTTCAAGATATACAGGGTGGCCCAGACCTACCGTACCAGGCCTTTTTTTCGGTTAATTTGGGTCCACGAAGTCCAGGATCGCAGGGATGAATAGGGAATCGACCCCAAGAAATCCGAATTTCATGGTCCCAGAGCCCCCTGGCGATCCTTGGGGGGTAAAAGGGGGGTCCGTACTTCAAAAGTCAGGGTTAATGTCAAAATTTTGAAATTATTTCATCGGAATCAGAACGTACGGAAATTTTTAACTTGAATCGACACCAAGAAATCCAAAATCGGTCCGTCCGGGTCCAAAATACCGACCCCTAAAGGTGGAGGACAGAGCCCACTTTCAAAAAAAATCAAGTTCGTTAAATTGACGTGGAGACTCGGAAAAAATGTGTATTTATGGGTGATCGACCCCAAGGAATCCAAATTTGAGGGTCCCGTTGTCCTCGGACACTTTTCTGATGAGGCACAGGGGTAACCTCCACACCGGTTAAATTTGAAAGTTCAGAGACCCCCTGTGCCCCATCAGAAAAGTGTCTGAGGACAACGTGACCTTCAAATTTGGATTCCTTAGGGTCGATTACCCATGAATACAAATTTTTTCCGAGTCTCCACGTCAATTTAACGAACTTGAATTTTTTTGAAAGTGGGCTCTGTCCTCCACCTTTAGGGGTCGGTATTTTGGACACAGAGGGGCTGATTTTGGATTTCACGGTGTCGATTAAGCTAAAAATTTCCATACGTGCTGATTCCGATGAAATAATTTCAAAATTTTGACATTAGCCCTGACTTTTGAAGTAGGAACCCCCCTTTTACCTCCCAGGGACGCCAGGGCGGCTCTGGGACCATGAAATTCGGATTCCTTGGGGTCAAATCCCTATTCATTCATACGACCCAAACTAACTGAAAAAAAGCCCCGGTACGGTAGGTCTGGGCCACCCTGTATGGTAAGTTTTTTTCCCTTTCGCCTTTCTCTTTCATAGTCTGCAAACAATCTTTCATTGAATCATGCGTTAATTTTTATTATTGTGACTTGATCATCAGTTTTTAAGTTATCTCCTTAAAAATTGTATCTTCCTCTCAAAAGACAAAAGTATTTTTAGTCCACGAATAATATGTCAAATTCGGACAGTTATAGGAAAAAATGATTAAGTGAAATTTTTAAGGGCAAAGTTAAGGCTATAGAATTTCACACCAAATAGTCCATAAATTATATGAAAGTTCAGGGAAAAAATTAATAACAAGTTGGTTTTTGGCATATTGAGTCCTTATGACCCCCTGAGTCCTTGAAAAAAGGTCCGTGTCGACAGCCCGATGGGTTTGGGTTTTTTGGGGGGGTAAGTGCTCCAAAATTGGTTTTCGGCCCACAACACAAAAACTGTGGCTCGTATCACTACGTACAGCACCATTTGCTGAATCCCTGTGAAATTTCGGAGTGGAATGGCTCTTTGCTGTTTTTCCACAGCCCCTTGATGCAGTGCAGAACACCATTGACAAAAATCGGAAATTGACCCTCAGATTTTTCAAAAAACTGTTTCTAAGGTTGTGTGGAGGAATTCATACAAAAAATTACACTCGTGTCTGAAAAATTTGTCTGATCTGGTACGAGGGGGGGACCCAAAATAAACTGGAATTTTGCTGTAACTTGGCAACAATGGGAAATATTCGGGTTTCTTTGCTAGGAGGTGTAACCAGGAGCTATGAAGAGTCACTAGGTCAAATTTCAACATCGTGACACATTTGCTTTCATTTTTTTGAGATTTGGCTTTAGGGGTGTTTGGCAAGTTCGTCGTTTTTGAAGATGAGTCAAACTCAGTAACAACAATTAGTGCTCTTACAACTCTTACTCGATAAAAACACAGCTTTCTCTGTTAACTTTTTGAAGTGCTGCTTCTGAAGGACAAGCTTCGTCAAAAACTTCAGTGTAAGTACGGTTTTCGTTTTAAAAATGGTGCTGTATCGCCCGAAACCCCAGTACGGCTTTTAACCACCATCGTCATTGGTTAGAACCAATGAAAATATGAAAAAAATCTCATTTTTGTGAATGAAGAGGTTGAAAATCATTTAATTAACTAGCAGGTATCCCTTGAATGTAATACATGTGTTTTTTTCAGAATATTGCTGTGAAAAATTTGGGCCTAAAGCGCATTGTTGCCAAATTGATCCCCCATTTTGCGTTCTAGCCAGTGACGGCCGCTTGCCGTCGAGCCAACGTTCGAACAATTAATCGCACTTTAAAACGAAGAAAAACATTTGTTCACTTATGTCATAGGTGAAGTATGTTCCTAGCAAGATTCACTCCAATAATTGACAGAGTTAGCCGCGCATTGCCTGTGAAAATCACCTTTCTCAAGAAAGACGAGCTCAGCGAACATCCCTCATACGCGGGCTCGCCAAAATGGAAGAAAATGTGCTTCACCGTTGAAATGTGGCCTAGTGACTCTCAATAGCTCCTAGTTTCACCACCTAGCGGTAGAACCCGGATATTTTCTACCATTGTCAAGTTACAGCAAAATTCCGGGTTTTTTTGGGTCCTCCCTCTTATATCATGACAGTATTTGAAAAATTTGAAAGTCAATTTCTGACTTTAGTCAATTTTTTTATTTTTGATAAGAAGGGTCACAGCACAGCCGGCTCCTTAAAACCGGTTGCGCTGTGACTCCTCCACCCCCGCCCCATGGAGCAAAAGTGTAATTTTCTCACTCCAAATAGGCCCACAGATGCTTTCAGAGAAACATGGTCCGGTATTTTCATTTGGGCGAATTTTTTTTATAGCCAAAAAACGCAATCTCGACTGTTTACCGCCAGATCGGCTTGTTTTCACCCATTGAAACCAATGCAATTTTTTGCTCGGAAAAAGGGGGGCTCTAGAGGAAACTGCAGGCTTAACCTGGGATGTTCAAAGGCCACTTTTCTTTTGGGATCTAATGGCATGGGGAAAATCCTGGGGGGCTGAACTGTTGAACCTTTTTTTATTTTTTTTTTGCGTCACCCCAGCCTGCGGCTAACATCTTGATCTATTGAGAGTGAAAATTCCGTAGGCTTCATCATCAATCATGCAATAAACTGAGACTTTTTAGTTAGATCTCATTTGGATTTTTCTTCAAAATTAAACTTTGACCAGCTAGTTTTTCTAGATGTGTACATACATGAAAATATACACATCTTGGTACAGAAAGTTAATTGATGCAAGATATTTATTTGCCATTGTTTCATATTATCTTGATTTCCTTTTATTTTGGATTATTTTTAATCTTTTTTTTATTTTTGTCAAAAGCAAATCCGACAAACTATCATTACACGAGCGGGGAGTCGGGTCCATTCAAGTAGTAATTCCACAATGATCGAATCATTAGAAAATGATTCTGCTGAAGTAAGTATATTTTTAATGAACATCAACACTTCGTCTCTTAATTTGACTTAAAAATGGGGTGTCATTATTTCATAAGATTACTTATCTAATCATTGTTCTGCCTTTCCCTAAAATTTTAGGAGCCTTTCTGGCCAGCAAACCCAATTTTCAGTAGCCAGTTAAATTGTTTACATACAGTATGGGGTCGCGAATGGTGCATTGAGAGTGCTAAAACTGCTTTGCAATTGTAAGTTTGAAAGAGTTGACCAGATGTATCAATTTTTAAAAGCGCCATGATGGCAGAGCCCCCCTCCCCGCCACAATTTTTAGGCGCCAATGCTCGAGTTTTGGTGCGTTTGGTGCATGGCGCCTGAGAAAGGCAGAATGTTATAGCTAAGTAATTTTGGGCCCTATTTGATTTAAGGAAATTTTTCATTGGTAGAAACTTGCTCTCTTGGTTCTAACTGTTACACCTCTTGTTGAGTTAAACATTTTTAAGAATCATCAAATGTTTGTGAAACTCTTCCCTATGCGCTGGCACCAATGATTTAATTTTGCATTTTTTAGCGTCAAGGCTCCTTTTTCTATTAACAGTCACATATAATGAGCTTATTTGTGATCTGAGCTCGTTGCGCACAACAGGGTGGCCCAGACCTACCGCACTAGGCCTTTTTCTTGGTTCTTTTAGGTCGGACAAAGTCCTTGACCGTAGGGACAAGTAGGAAATGGATCCCCAAGTAATCCGAATTTCATGGTCCCGGAGCCCCCCGACTACCCTTGGGGGATAAAAGGGGGGTCCATACATTAAAAGCCCATATTACAGGGTTTTCGTCAATATTGTGAAATTATTTCATCAGAATGAACAGAAAATTTTATCCTGAATCGACAACAAGAAATCCAAAATCAGCCCATCCGAGTCCAAAATACTGACCCCTAAAGGTGGTTGCCAGAGCCTCCCCTGCGTTAAAAAAATGCAAGTTTGCTCAATCGACGTAGATACTGGAGAAAAAAGTTTTCATGGGTAGTCAACCCCAAGAAATCCGAATTTGAGGGTCCCACCATCACCAGAGGCTCTTCTGATGGGGCACAGGGGACTCAACACTGGTCAAATTTACAAATTCAGGGTTTCCCCTGTGTCTCATTAGAAAAGCCTCTGGTGACGACAGGACCCTCAAATTCAGATTCCTTGGGGTTGATCACCCATGAAAACCTTATTTTCCGAGACTGTACATCAAACTTGCATTTCTTCCATGGGGGGGGGACTCTGGTAACCACCTTTATGGGTCAGTATTTCGGACACGGATGGGCGATTTTGGATTTCTTGTTGTCAATTTAGGATAAAATTTTCCGTCCTTCCTGATTCTGATTAAATAATTTCCAAATATTGACGTAAACCCTGTAATTTTCACTTTCAATGTACCTACCTACAGACCCCCTTTTATGCCCCCAAGGGTGGCTGTGGAGCTTTGGCACCATGAAGTTCGGTGATTCCTTGGAGTTGATTTCCTTCTCATCTCTGCGGTCAAGGACTTTGTCCGACCTTAGAGAACCAAGAAAGAGGCCTGTCGGTGGGTCTGGGCCACCGTATATGATCCATGCCATGAAAAATGGTGCATAAGAGGGAGTGTTAGATGCTGGCTTGAGGTATTGTTTAAGAGTTAAAACTCAATTACATGGGTTATTCCTAAGACCAAAGCCCGCCGAAGTCAATTAACCCTAGATGCTTACCAGAATCTGCCCCCACATGCTCTTTTTGTGATTTTACTACTTTGGGATAAATTTAACAAATATTTATCTCTTAACTGAATGTTTTAAAAATCTTATATCATGCTTTGCTTTGCACAGAAGTGATGTTATAGTTTTCTCATGCTTTTTCCAGGTCATAGATCTCACTGATAAGAAATGTGATAGAGTTAGTAACGATGAAACTGAAATGACCCGGCAAAGGAGAGAGCGAGAAAACATCCTACATCAACAGCAACAGCGTGATTTTATGATGCGACATACTCTACAAATTAGCGAAGGTAATTCCTTGGTTCCTAAAAACCGAAAATTGACTTTATGCGTGGTTGCCAAGTCATCTAAAAAAATCGATAAAATCGTTGAAATATACGAAGCACGTTCGGCCGCAATCGCGTTTTATGCATTTTTAAGGGCATGTGGAGGGCACAAAAAATTTGTTGATCCAAAAATTAATTAGAACACCTTAAAATGAATACTAGAAGTGAGTTAATCCTCCAAAAATCAGGGCTCTAGCCAATCTCCGTCATGCTTAAACAGTGTGATGGAGTCAGGGAAAACAGCTTGAATCACGTGATTTTTTGACACAAAGTGCAGAAGAGGCACCCCAAAATATTTTTTTTTTAGAGGAACGCTTTGGCACACTTTAGTTTGATGCCTAGGCGCAAATTTTCCCCCCTGTACGTTTTTGAAATTCGGAATTCGATGTTTTTTGACTCGCCTAAGGGGGCCCCCCTTGGTCCCCCCAAAATTTTGTCCCCCTCAAAAGATAAGTTCTTTTGGTCTAGGAACTTACCGCGAAGCTCGTTTCTCTAACTTCAGCCGTTCAAAAAATATCCAGCTGTCTCCAGATTTTTGCCCCACCCTGTATCTACAGGGTTATCCAAAAGTCACCTACCACCCCTGTAACTTTTTTCCTAATTGAGATAGAAGTCTGAAACTCTGAGAATGTTCCTCGGTTTAAGGTAGCAACTTACTGGTCTCCCCAAAATTTTGGGGGGCTGCCCCTCCTAAGGGGGGCGGGGGCTAACTTTTTTTTTTCAAGTGGCAACCCCCCTTTTGTGATACCTCATTCGAAAGATAATAAAAAAAGAAAATTTTTGGCGCAAACTGCAGGTCAAAATGTTGATTTTTGACAAAATGGCGGCCGGTCAAAGTTCAAAATGGCGGGAATTTGACATCTCCGTTTTTTATCGGCGGATTGGTCTGAAACTCAGAATCCTAGGGTTTCTTGGGACGAGAAAAACGATTCTGGCATTAGTTGTCCAGAAATGTCAGTCCTTTTCAAAATGGCGGCGGTTAAAATGGCGGCTTAGAGCGGGAAGTGGATATTCAGGCTGCTTATCGTCGGATTCGTATGAGACTTGGTATCCGGGGGTATTTTGGCACGAAAAGAACGAATCTTTAATTGGATTTTTGAAATTTTGAAAAACTTTAAAATGGTGGTGTAAAAATAACGGAAAATCCATTTCACGGCTGTTTACCGATGGATTTGCAGAAAAGTCAATACTCTGGTGGTTTTTGGCTCGGAAAAAATTAATCTTTCATTAGATTTTTGAAACACTGAATATCGTCAAAATGGCGGCGGAAAAATAACGGAAAATCCGCATCCACCATCGCCATTCGCATTTTTACCGCAATTTTAAAGTTTTTCAAAATTTCAAAAATTCAATTAAAGATTCGTTCTTCTCGTGCCAAAATACCCCCGGATACCAAGTCTCATACGAATCCGACGATAAGCAGCCTGAATACCCACTTCCCGCTCTAAGCCGCCATTTTAACCGCCGCCATTTTGAAAAGGACTGACATTTCTGGACAACTAATGCCAGAATCGTTTTTCTCGTCCCAAGAAACCCTAGGATTCTGAGTTTCAGACCAATCCGCCGATAAAAAACGGAGATGTCAAATTCCCGCCATTTTGAACTTTGACCGGCCGCCATTTTGTCAAAAATCAACATTTTGACCTGCAGTTTGCGCCAAAAATTTTCTTTTTTTATTATCTTTCGAATGAGGTATCACAAAAGGGGGGTTGCTATTTGAAAAAAAAAGTTAGCCCCCGCCCCCCTTAGGAGGGGCCGCCCCCCAAAATTTTGGGGAGACCAAAAAGTTGCTACCTTAAACCGAGGAACATTCTCAGAGTTTCAGACTTCTATCTCAATTTGGAAAAAAGTTACAGGGGTGGTAGGTGACTTTTGGATAACCCTGTATGTAGTGTTATCTGTCGTATATACAGGGTGGCCCAGACCTACCGTACCGGGGTTTTTTTCCGGTTAGTTTGGGTCGACGAAGTCCAGGATCGCGGGGATGAATAGGGAATCGACCCCAAGAAATCCGAATTTCATGGTCCCAGAGCCCCCGTGGCGTCCCTTGGGGGGTAACAGGGGGGTCCGTACTTCAAAAGTCAGGGTTAATGTAAAAATTTTGAAATTATTTCATCCGAATCAGCACGTACGGAAATTTTTAGCTAAATCGACAACGTGAAATCCACAATCGGCCCATCCGTGTCCAAAATACCTTTTTAAGTACTTTTAAAGTACGGACCCCTCTTTTTATTCCCCCAAGGGCTGCCAGGGGGCTCTGGGACCATGAAATTCGGATTTCTTGGGGTCGATTCCCTATTCATTTCCGCGATCCCAGACTTCGTAAGACCCAAATTAATCGAAAAAAAGCCCTGGTACGGTAGGTCTGGGCCACACTGTATAAATTAAACAGTGGAAAAACAAGGAGGAAAAACGGGAAACAAGGCTAAAAATACACAATCAAGAAAACCCGGGATGGTTAGACTCAAGTTGAGTCATTTTCAGTCGGAAACTAAAAAATTTAAGAATATACGAGAAGAACCGGAGCCCCACATGGTGGTGGCCGGGATCTGAGAAAAAGAGAAAATTGATAACAAACAAGGCACATCGATGCCAGCATCATTGACCGGAAATGATCGACATGCTAGTTAGCGGTTCACTTACAGATGGCAGCACTAATCAGTAAAACAATTTTTTTCTCCTCCGTTTTTCCTTCTTGTTTTTCCACTGTTATCATTGTCTCGGGCTGCTCTTAAAAATTTGTATCTATATAAATTAAAGGCATCTGAAGGTACTCATCGATTCCTGGAGATGACTACATAGCTACTGGGCTGAACGAAAATGTTAGACTCGCTAATGTAAGAACATTGTAAACCATAGTCTTCAGATTTCATTCAAGGAAAGAAAATCAATGCAAACAGGCATCGTCTAGCTCCACTGTGTAACTGCATCTGCTCCACATAGGGACGGGCCCATTACAGAAACAGGACATTCACGGTAAAAATGAAATTCATTAAAAGCAAAAATCAAAAGCATAGAAGTTATTTGTCCAAACTTTCAAAATAACGAAGGTTTTAACAAGTTGAAAAACATTGCAATGGCAGTTGTAGAGAAACGTGTGTTTTGGGAATACAAAAAAAGAGGTAACAGCGCATCTTGTACAAGCTCCTGTAAATTCGGGGATGAGTTTCAGTGCAGTTTTTTGTTATAACACTTTAATACAGACGTAGGCTTTTTGTTTAGGTCTGTAATGATGATTTGTTCTTATTTCTTGGGAGCCAGAGAGCGAATTCAGAATGGCCAAGTGAAAAAACTAAAGTTCGAAATTCAGCTAGAGTTTTAAAATAATCTCCATGCATGTCCACAAAACGGTTTGCAAATTGAGAATCTGCGTATCCTTAGCTTTCAGGATCATATCAGTTTTTTTCAAACTTCCTCTGACTTGGGAAGTTACAAGCGAAAACATCAGTGCAGATTGCTTAAAATCGAGCGCTCATACAGACTGATGGACGTTCGAGTTTGAGTGCATCGGGCTGCGTTGCTGACCGCCGCCGCCGCCGCTGCGCCGCTTATCAGCTTCCTGCTATGCTTATCTAACATGCGGGATCATGATTGCAATGGTCATCCTCCATTTCATTCTGTAGATCCAGTTTTCATCTTTTCATTTGTCAAAGAATCGAATGAAGTAGTGACAGAAACAGTGTCTTACATCCAGTCTCAAATCGAAAATTTAAGTTCAACTGAAGTAGACAATTTGTCTGTCTCATGACCTGCACAGCACCATGTTTGACAGAAGAATGTGTAATATTTTAAGTGGCAATAAGCCACTTCCAAGTTGTTATATGTGTGGCGCTACTTTGTTCAAATGAATGTTATTGCAGAAGAGCAGACGAGCCCTTGAGAAATTTTGAGCTCTGAAGTATAGAATTTCTCCCTTATATCTTCAGATCAGGTCTTTCCAGTGCCTGTTACACATCGCGTACAAACTAGACTTCAAAAAGTGGCGTGTCAAAATAGGAGAGGAAAAGTTTTTGAAAAAAAAAAAAACCCGAACAAATTGATCCAAAACAAAAAGAATCAGTTAGGATGGAGAGTGGACGTAGTGAAGTGAAATTTTTCCCCTAGTTGAACATTGCTGTGGTTTTTGTGACAAGGAAGAAGATGGGAGGGGAGAGGGATATCTTTATGAAGAAGTATCTCAATTTCAGGATTAATACATTTTTTCAATGAAAAAAGCCGAATGACAAGCGTGTTAAATCTCCATCATAATCATGCTAATCTATTTATCAAATGGATTAAAACAGAGACTTGGTAGCAAAGTTTTTTTTTACGGAATCTTTACTATGAACCAAAGATTGAACATAAAATTTGATTCCTTGCCCCAAAATGACCTTAAATGCCAATTTTCGAGTAGATTCGGCGATAATATATCGTCAAATAAGCGAATGTCCCGTTTTGACACCTTTCCGTCCCACTCCGCGCTCTACACTTCCATCACTCTTGCTTGATTCGTTGACATGCTCTTATGAATCAAAATTTCGCAATTTCCAGTGGTTCCAATGAAAACTTAAGATTTATTACATCTTTGTTCGGTCAATAGGTTCCTCAAATACTCCTAGAAGCCTTTTTGTGCTTAGTCAATTACTTGTCAAAATTAGGGAGCAAAATTAGAAAATGTGTGTGATGACATGAGAAAAGCCATTTTAATCGGTACCCTGCTTATCTGGATTTATCCTCGACTGCTCAATTCAAACTGAGTTATAGTAGTCTCATTGTATTTTAGAAAAGTTTCAGAAAATTCTGTTTGACAATAAACTTTCGTCTGATAATCTTAGCTCTGCATTTTTCCAGAAGATTGAATAAGATAGGGGTGACCAACTTTAGGATTGATCAGTTTGAAAAGTTTATTTGCAGTTTGAATGTCTTAAAAAATCAGGGTAGTAGGTGTCAGGGAAAACGGAAATTGTTAGGGAACTTTGAGTAACCAGGAAAAGTCAGGGAAATTTCACGGAATTTTTGTAGCACATTCTCTTCTGATGTACCTATGCCTGAAAACGGTAAACTACAGGTGTTTTGCGGATGACAGCCATTTCGTCATCCAGTTCAAAATATGAAACAACGATCGAAGACTTACAATCTTGTCTGGAAGATTTTCGAGTTTGGACTGTAAACACCCGTACTGTGCTGAATGCCTCAAAATCGGAGAATCGAGTATTACCCTGAGGCCATACGTATACACTCCCATTCCTAATGTTTTTAAGGCAAAATACCTTGGCCTTATCATGGATCCTACATTAAACTGGAAAACATATTTAAATATTTGTCTTCTTCACTATACTGACCTAAAAGAAACAGATCAAGTCAAAACACGGACAAAGGATGTGACTGCTCGGTCGCCGATCAAAGTTAAAGTTAGACTTTAAAATTTTGATTTGTAATCCAGGATAAGGCCAATCTGGGCTTATGGTTGTCAAATGTAGGGCTGTGCATCACCCTCTAACGTCAAGCAGATAGAAGCTCTTCAAAACATATTAAGACAACTCGTTGGGGTCTGATGGTATGAGAGAAATTCCGATATAAGAGGTGAACTCCGCAGAGAAAGCATTGAGGCATTCATCTCTAGGATCACGGTGGCAAAATTTTATCATTAATATAAACTTCGAAGGATTCTGCCTTTTTCTATTTCACTCGAGGGGAAGTGTCCCCTCCCGGACTCTCTTCCCCACCCGGTGACTGATGCTGCGCTGTGCTGAACGGTTCAGCCTGAACCTTTCCCCTACGTCTGACCGTTCCCCACTCCTCTGTCAATCGAACCATATGCCACCGCTTACGTATTGTCGCTCGCCCACCCAGGTACCTAGCGGCCAGCGGTCAGTTGATGATAAATCTCGCTCATGCTCCTATGCAGCTACGCATTGATTACGCCAGCTAATTACTTTCTAATAATTAGAATTTCTTCGATAATAGTTTTCTTTATTTATTCGACTGTATTTTTTTCTCTGTTCTACTGTGATTTCCTTGGTTCTCTACTGTCCTAAATCTCTGAGTCAGAAATCTGAAGCACTTCGGTATGCACCGAGTACTTCAGATGTGTGACCTGAAATCTTCGGTATATACCGAACTACTTCAATTGTCTGACCCGAACTTCGGCAGATGGACCTTGACTTTTCGGATGCGTGATCCGAAAACTTCAGAGATCCATATGATCTCAGCTTCGGGTTCCATGCACAAATTTTTTTCTCCGTGTTTCCTTTTAGGGGACGCAACTAAAATTTCAGTAAATTTTTTTCAGAAAAGTAAAGAAAAAAAAAAGTGGCTAACGATGGTTCCTCACCTTCACGTGGTGTTGGCTGTTTTTACTAACAAAGTGGGAACCGTCCATTTTAAGATATAGTCTATTTCTTGCCCTGCCATTATTATTCTACAAGTTAATTGTGGAGTGAGAATTTCATAATGTTTTCTATGAAATCTTCAAAATATAGTGATAAAAAATGTGCAACTACTACAAAATCGGCTCGCGAAGCGAGCCGAATGTCACTCGCGTAGCGAGTGACCGGGGGTCCAGGGGGCGTAGCCCCCGGCTAGGCGTGACGGGCGCGCGAAGCGCGCCCAGAACGGCTAGTAAAAATATAGTCTTGAAATTTCAGAAATTTCTGAAAGATATTGAAAAATTCGGGTCCCTTTTCATGTTTCACAAAATGAAAAAATTGTGATTTTCTTCTATTTTTGTGTATGTGAGTGCGGGTTGCATACTCCAGCCTCTGAAAAATATGCAGTATTTCACAGCCTCGCGAAATTTACCTAATAGACAATGGCGTCATTCTACCTAATTAATTGTCTAATTTTGCTTGGTGTATACCTACGGAGTCATTTTGGAGATAGTATATGATGCATTATATAATGCGTTTGAAATTCTAGGTTTCACCTGACTCAAAGCATTTGCTGCTGTTACCCAGGAGCGTTCCAACTCATTTATCGGAGACTTGACCGTTCGTCATCGGAACCTCTGCAATTATGAGATTAGTCCAAAGATCTTTTAGGAATTTAAATTATTGACCTAGGTGGTGCTTCGCGCCAACTCTCACAAGATGAATGCCTTTTTATAAAATCTAAAGCACCTCTCAGTGAGCTCTTTGTGTGATCAAAGTGCCCTCGCTATATGACGTGTAACCCTTCAATTTTGAATTTAGTCCAAAGATCTCTGAGGAACTTAAATTAATGACTCAGGTGGTGCTTTTGTGCCAACTTTTAAAGAATTAAAGGCATTTTTTCAAAACCTCCAGTCCGTCAAAGTGAGCTCTTCGTGTGATTTTGCGGAACAAAGTGCCCTCACCGTATGACCTGTATTCCTTGAATTTTGAGTTTACTCCAAAAATCTTTTAGGAACATAAATTAATGACCCAGGTGGTGTGTTTGATGCCCACTTTTCAAGAATTAAAGGCATTCTTTTTTAAAGTATGGTTATTTTGACTCCAGGGACCTTAAAACGTCTAGAAATGATGAAATTTCAACTTTCTTTTTTTTTTCTTGGAGGATGACAATACTTCCTCTACCCTAGGGTAATGAGAAAGTAAAAATAAGTAAAATAATGATTGTAGTAGAGTGCAATTTTATCTTTGTAATTTTAATGTTTCAGGTTCAGCCTTTAGTCCTAGATCTTCAAGACCTCTCTCGAGAACTTTGTCTAGTCCCCTAGTAGCTCTTGGAAATGAAACATCCTCCTCATTTATGTTTTCATCTCCGAAGATGCTGAGGTAACTTAATTCATTTTATCTCTGACCCATTTACTATTCAGTTTCAATTTGACGATTGTTTTCTACAGAATAGACCATTAGACACTCACATAAAACTTGATTTGTGCCATGAAAATTATTGAAAGTAACTCCTAAGAAACAATTGTTTTTCCATACATGAATTGAAACTGCTTGCTCATGAAAAATAATAATCTCCTTGAGTAAAATTGCACACTAAACATTACCTTCAAAGTCTCTGCGGTATGAAAATATGACAACTGCATTATCAACGCTTTCGTTTAGCTGTTTCACATTGTTAACACTTTGGGGAACTCAAAAGGTGCGGAAGGAATACTGCTTCTTGAGAAGCCTGCTGGAACACTTAAGTCCTCGTTTTGATTCAAGTAGATTATGGTGTTCTTGTGAGGATGAAATTAAAATTTTTTGTAACCAATGTGAATAAAAATGTTACTATCTTAATTTGGAATAATCCTCTTTGAGCAAATTGTGTTTGATGTGAAATATTTGAAGAGTTAAATACACCATCACACACTCACACCATCACACACTCACACCATCACACACTCACACCATCACACACTCATATAGTTATACATAGTTACGAGTGCGTCCGGGAGGAAGAAATCAATTTTCTATTCGCATTATTTAACAGCATTCATCCCTCCATCCAGTTTACTCTGGAGGTAGAAAATAATCACATTATAAACTTTTTAGACATGACTTTATATCACGTAAACAACAAGGTGATGTGTAAAAGTACCAGAAACCCATGGCCTCGGGCCGCTATGTCAATTTTTTATCTGTTCAGCCCACTTATCTGAAAAAAAAATGTGGGCCTTAATTTATAGCTTCGCATAATTGGTCTGTCGCCCAGGAAGTTTCGCTTTGAAATGATCAGGGTTGTGAAAACATTACTCATGGAAAACTGCCACTCAGAAAAATTTGTTGACAACATCTTTAGAGGAGTTTTAAGCAATGTAGGTAAGACCTGGGAGACTGACCTTAATAACACTTTCAATGTTGGTTGGAAAAGTTGTGAGCATCCATTCTGTGCCGTATTTTTCTGAGAATCTTTCAGGGTTACACAGAAACTATTCAGACACAGAGATTATCAGGTGGTTCATAAAAGATAAAACACTTTGCAGAGCCTTTTGTCTAAGCTTAAAGCTGAAACCACTAAGTTGGATGCAGCCGGAGTAGTTAATCATATTTCTTGTAATAACTGTGATTTGGCGTACATGGGCCAGACTAAGAGTAATTTATCTTAGAGGTTTAGTGGCCCTAAATATGACCGCAAAGAAGTCATTGCCCTACACAAACACCAGCAGGAGACAGGCCATGAATTTAATTTTGGTGAAGTTAAAATCTTAGGTCATGAAAAAAAAGATTTCCAGCATATGTTAACAGAAATGATTTAAATTTTAAAATATGGGGGAAAGGTGTGTAGTGCTCGATTTGATGTAAGCAAACTTAGTTTCCTCTACCACTCGTTTCTCCACGTTGGGACATAAGTCCCAATCTTAGCAGTATGTGGCATTACAGAGAGTTGACTGGCACTGCTGAACATTGAATCTTGATGAGGGTTGATGAGGTTGTTTACATCTTGTCAGTCCTAATTTTCGTCGGGGCTGATCATATGGTTTTTAATGTAGTTTTGTTTTTTTAGCCTTATTTTTAATTTTGTATTTATTTCAGCAGTTGATAATGGCTTGGGTCACCAGCCGAAATGTCGTGAAATGTTTTCATAAATTTTAGCCTTGTTTCCCTCTGTTTTTATTGTGTTTTTACTGTATACAGTTATAAATAGTTTTATCTAGTTGTATATAGTTATATGTAGTTTCATCTAGTTATATATAGTTATATATAACTATACCTTTGTAATCAACCGTGTATATAAGTAACTGTGAGTTAACTATATGTTTGATTTTGGCTGTCCTCTATAAAATGCAGTTTTATCTGAGGTATCAGCTTTGGATTTTTTTGTATGGATTTTCCCACACAAGCTAGTAACTCATGTTTAAGTAACTCAAGCAAAGTACAAAAACTACATATTTCGATAATATGTGTAGTGACAAAGTACTTGCCGGCATATTGCGGAAAACATAGTCCGGGAAGATTATCCACGTCCTTATTTTTCTTGGCCTGATAACGGGATTTTCGAGTTGGTGGGCAAGGGCGAGGGCTTTCTGTTGGGATCCCCTCAGTTAAGGGGAAGCTCAGTCAGATAGTCGTCGCTATAGAACCTGCATGGCCGGCCGGCAGAGCGCAGGTGTATAGTAATTGGAGTACCGAGCAAAAATGCACGCAATGGCGATAGCCTTAACTTGATTCTTCTATGCAGTGACAATGCCACTTCATTTCGTCAACAAAGGATATAAAATCGTGAAATTGATGAAAAGAAAATTTTGGAAGTGAACTTTGGATCGATGCTGAATCGACGGTGATTAAAACTGTAAAATTGCGTATCTAGGTCGTTGCGAAATCTCGGCTCCGATTTCATTCTTTACAAGGAGAAATCAAATTTACATCATGCCTTGACATTTTTACAGAGTATTTTTCACATTGAGAGAAAAATTGCTAAAGTTTTCAAGAAATGAAGTTTCGTAGTTTTCTAAGTAGAAAATTAAGTATGATAGAAAATCCTCAATGCTGCAAACTGAGACATGCATTTCTGTGGTTTCATCATCCAAATATGACCATTGCGGTGTGTGTCATTTCAATGAAGAATTGATTCAGGGGGGAATTATTTTTGTGGATATTCTGACAAACATATATCTTGGATTTTGCTATCAATTCTACAAAAAATTTCTAATTCTAGTCAAAAACTCTCTCTCGATAAAATTGTTGTTTCCATACTTTTAAGTTGTCTAAGTTAAATCTCTATTTTTTAGTGATTCTTTTTAAAATTAACAATCTAGTCACGATAAGATTTTAAGTCTTTCAATTAAGCAGAGATTGTTATTACCACCAACTATTGTTCCTAAATGTAGGTAGTAAATTTCTCAACGCATGTGGAGATTTATTCTCCATTTCCAATACCAGAGTGATTTTCTTTCTATGGTATATTCTCAACCAAAGTAGTTTTTCAAAAGCATGCAAAGAACTGTTGTCTCCTAAGTTGGTAGTTATGTCGGCAGCATAGAGAGTGTAGCCCTTGCTAGGTGTAAACCCTGACTCAGGAACCATGTAACATCAAGAATACCCGATCGCCTTCCTTATCCTTTAATAGTTTTCATTTCATTATTATTTCTGTTTGCTCTGTTATGACTTAGTTGAATCAAAACTGTTTCCTTGGAAAAAGCAAAAATGTAAGGACATTTTTAACTTATGGGTTGGTTTGGGGGAGGCAGGTGCTGTCAGGCAGCGGCCAGGTTGTTGAAATTATCGAAAATCGATATCAGATAGGGCTTGGTCTTTTCTTATCTTCTTGACAAAGCCAGATAAAGTTTCAACAATCAGGCTGCAGATAGCTGAAAATGTATTTTGTGGTTTCACATTATTGTACTCGAATTTTCCTCCTCTTTCTTTTTAATCAGTCAGAGATCTTGCATTATATGAAAATGAATTCACAAATTTTACTTGACTTTCATAAAAGAAACTGAAATTGGGATCAGTTTTTAGGATGTTTCTCACAGCTTTCTCTGGATCTAATGATATTTTCAAAAATCGTAGGAGTTCTCAAGGTCAGAGGACTGGACTCTGCTGGGACAGTCTTATGCTAAAACATGGTTGCACGTGCGGTAACAATGCTGAGCATGCGGAGCATGGAGGAAGGTTGCAGAGTGTCTGGGCTCGTCTAGGGGAAAAAGGCCTCATAGAAAGATGTGATAGGATTAGGTCGCGTAAAGCCACCCTGGAAGAGCTTCAAGTCTGTCATAGTGAACCCCATGCTTTACTTCTTGGTAAGCTGCATCTCTCATCAACATGGTTTATGTAGGTACTTGTCAATACTTTAATTGTGCATTCTGAAAAAATAACATGATGATAAATGCCCCTTCATTTCTCAAAGTTTCAAGTCTCCCAAAAGTGGGCCTGAGGAGACGCAGCGGTGGGTCAGTTACAAATCGGCAAAATTTCCGTGAATTTTTTCTCCAAAACTAAAAAGTCTTGCAAAACGCAACTTAGACGGAGCGTTTCCTGCGTGACAAGAGCTGCCAGAAAATGCTTAACATCATAGGGGTGTGTCAACTTAAACTGGAAAGACCCGGAAATTCGCCTGAAAAGCGCCGGAACGCTAAAACAAGACCAACTTTTTTTCACGTCTAGGCCAATTCTTACACTAGCCCATTTTTAATTTTGATGAAAAACCGGTGTGTTGTTCCTTATTCTCTGTAGTCCCCCCTAGCTTTTTACTGTATGTCAAGGAAAGTTTTTCATAGCAAGTTATGAGAGCGGAAAAGAGCGAGGGCCGGGGAAATCGGCAATTTTAAACTACACGTGTAGTATTGATTAACTCCATGCCAACTGTCCGCCGATTCTGACAAGCGTGTGGGCGTGCATCTGTGCATGCTCTACCATTGGACCTCAAATAATGCAGGTATGTTTCAGCACTGTTTATTATAGATGTTGTCTGCATTTTTATTCTTCAAAACCACTTGTATAGTAATAATTTGCCCATTTTTGCAACGAATAAATGAGCTCTGACCTTAGCTGCAGTAAATATGACAACGCTGCCCACCTAATCACAAAAGGCAACAGAGGGAGAATGAAAATTTGTTTTATTGACGCATTTTGTCGACTGTTTAAAAAAATCACATCTAGTCTAGCTAGCTAGACATTTAGTCAGCATCTAGCTAGTCTCTCTTGGGGAGAAACCCTCCTGAGGTTCCGCGCGCACGGTTTGAAATGGCCAATTTCCCTGACACTTGCTCCTTTCTGCTCTCACAACTCGCGACAAAAAAAATTTCCCCGGCACACAGTAAAAATCTAGTGGGGCTACAGACAGTCAGGAACAACACACCAGTTTTTCATCAAAATTAAAAATGGGCAAATTAGGGAATCAGCCTGGTCGTGAGAAAAGGGTCCTCTTTTAGTGTTACGGCGCTTGGTAGGCGATAACTTCAATATAAGACGACAAAACCCTATGATGTTGCACATTTTCGGAAACCTCTTGTCACGTTGGAAATACTCGTCTAAGTCGCGTTTCGTAAAACTTTTTAATTTTTGAGGATAAAATTTGCACAAATTTTGCCGATTGGTAATTGACCCCCCACCGCCTGAAACTTGGAGGAATGATGGGGCATTTTTTAGGAAATCAATAGGTCAAGTCTCAACAGTATCCGCCACGACTGAAAAATGACCTCTTTGGCACGAACCTCTTTCTGATAACTAAGATAAGTCTTCAGAAAATGTGAAGAATCATCAACATGGACTTGAAGTTTGCAAATTTTCCTGTCACTCAGATGCAAAGCATGATCATTTATCATATCTACAGGAAGGTTGAAGAGTGCTGTTTGCTGCTTCTGTGTTACTATATCAACAACAATGTCAGCTGGCATTGCCCGACAGTGTTCATGATTTTGGGAATGTCAGTGCTTATAACTGACAGTGAATATCAGACTATACATTTATAAATCTGTTTGTATCAGTTACGACGTTATAGCCTCATAAAATTTTTCAGAACCATATTTTCTAACTCTAGTTTTATCTGCTATGTGATTTTTATTGCCAGTTCATAAAATATCTCATAAAGTATCCTATGAAAAGTCAAATTTCATCGCCTGAGAGTGTGCCTGCTCCTCAATTATGTTTGCGGAAAAACACTCTTGTCACCAAAGAGTTAAGGACCCTTTTGTGATGAGATGATCCAACATTTAAAAATAAATTGCTTAGTAAAAATATATGCCTAATAGCAGAAATCGCCTAGTTTTCTTATAACCTATATTTTTATTTTTTAATGTATACTATGAAACATTTTCAATGAATGTTTACGAACAATTTTGAAAAACTGAATGAACAAGGATGGCTAAGGAACAATACTGCCTAACTGACAATTCTGGCGAAATTGACCTAGGTAGCGTTGGTGCTGCATTCTACAGTGCACGATTTGATGCAAGCTGATGTTTTTAGTTTTTTCCAATGCTGCAAAGGAGCGTTGCAGTGTATATTTAATACCATTGCATTCCTAATCTCAAAATTACAAAAATGGCGAAGTTTTTCTCTGTAAAATCGTCAGTTGCAAGATAGGCGATATTGTTTCTTAGCCATCGATAAGTAATTTTACAAGTTCTCCTAAAAATTCTCGAAAGACTGAATTTTTCTCCTCTAAGCCGGAAGGAACCATAATCCGTCAAAGTATCGAAGCTGAAATCTAAAATAAAAACTTTACCAAAGTAATCAAGGTGAAAAAATGCATGCTTAAGTAAAGGTCATCACCTTCCAGCTTAAATATTGGAAGCACCATTAACACTGAGACACTATGTCGTCAGACATCTCAATATTGTTTAAATATTTTCTCTAAAACTTTTGCACGCAGTTTTATGAAAGTTTCAGAGATTAATCTTAACAAGCAAAGAAATAGTAGATAAAATTTTTAAGTGATTCCATTCAATAGTTTTTGAAAAGAAAATTGGACAAGTTTGAGAAGTCTGGCAACATAGTGCCTAAGCACAAATGGCGCTTGTGATACTTTGGCTGGAAAGCGTGAATGAATCGAAGTTACTCGGAAAAGAAAAGGTGGAAGAGGTTGTGTCTCCAAACATTCTGTTCTTATTTATCATTCTAATGTCAATGTTTCTTCTTGATTTCAGGGACAAATTCGTATAGTCGACAGAAATTGGAGCCAAGTAAACTAGCCCAGTTACCCACAAGAAGTTTTGTCCTATTACCATGTGGTGGTTTAGGTGTAGATTCTGACACTACATGGAATGATCTTCATACTGCATCTGCTGCGAGGATGGCAGCAGGCTGTGTTATTGAACTAGCTGCCAAAAGTGAGTTGCATGTAGAAAGATTTGCCATGTACTCTTGAGGTAAAAAAAAAACCCAGATTAGCTATTAATTAATCGTGATCGGGCCTCAACGAATTTTGAACACAAGTGGACTACTCTTTTTGAGCTATACATTGAAACAATGTTTCCAACCCTTTAATAGTTTCTAACAAGCAATAGGTACTTTCAAACTAGTAATAATCTTCCCTTTACCAAAGAAGGGTGACTTGATCTAGTGTCCAATTCTAGAGGAATGCCCTTCATCAACACCCTGTGTGAAACTTATATTAGTTAGATTTTAAAACGCCAGCAGACCAAAGTTTTATCTTGGAGAGTATTTCCATGAAGAAGTTAAATGATCCACCCCAACGGTAGGTTATACCGTGAAATGAACTCCCTTTGTACATATTTGGTATGAATAAAGTTCCTATTTCTCCAGAATTATACTTAAGGATCCTCTGCTATTGTTAACTTTTGAATAATTTTTTCTTCAAAAATGAACTCCAGAATTGTCCATGGCAGGTATAATTATTAGATTTTAGTTGTGTGGTAGGACCTAAAAAAGCAGATGGTTTAACTTTATTCAAAAAATTTAACATGACGCCTGGCCGGCAGAAATTTTAAAGTGAGAAAAAAATCTCACGTCTGTCCCTTTACTTCTCTGCTATTATTTGTACACCGGACTGTCAGTATGTTGTCAATCAAACAAAAATTTAAATTGTGCAAGATGCTTTCTAAAAATCAGAAACTAATTGAACCCCAAAAACACTGAATTGTTTAATCAGAGGCAGAATATTTACTTGAAAAGTCTATTTTCAAAAAATTCCTGCTTATTTTTCCTCCGATTTTTCGTGAAACCTTCAGAAATCTGAAAAAATATGTTTCTCTTAATTTGGCCACTCGTTACTTAAAATGACAGTGCTTGTTTGAGTCTATACAGTAAAATTCGATGGCATACGGTGCAAAATGCAGAATTTATGTGTGGGACAGAGCACTATGGTCTGGGGGCGCCGAATTGTGGCCATAAATCAGGAAATGATCAGAATATCATGAAATTTGGTGTACTTATGTTTTTTGGGTCGCTGAATTCAAATTTGACCTTAGTTTTACAAAATTCTTAAATCCAAGATGGCGGCAGGCCCTTGAAACCAAAAAATTAGAAGAAAAGCCAAAATATGATTAGAATACCAAATAGAATGTCAGTTTAATGTTTTGAAGGTTGTCTCACTATAATATGAAATCCATTTTTCAATGATCAAGAGGTTATCAGGGCAGAAGCCCCAAAAATACGTATTTAATCCAGAAAAATAAGAGGAGAAGAAATGATTGAAATTGAATCAAGTCAGTACTATGTTTTTCGGTCTATTGATCCTGACTGGAGCGTAAGTTAAAAAAATTGCACATTCAATATGGTGATATTCGTGTTAGCAAGACATATGGCATTAGCCCTTTAGGGCGCCCCCTCCCCGAACCAAAAATTGTCCCTAAAAATGTTCATTTCTAGCGATTTTTTAAAAATAATTTACTCTTTGATCATCAAACCCTGCTAGCAAAGTTTTCTAGATATACTCAATACTACTTAGACCTAAATAGCTTTGACATTCTTATACTCATTGGAGGCTGTCAACCATTCTGCGCTGATTTTCATGGTTAGAATTATTATAAAGATTCTAGGCCTAATGAATCGTGGCCAAAAATCCGATTTTTGAAAGTACTAAAATCTGGCAATCGAGCATATAATCCTTATCTACATCCTTTAGTAGGTGTGAAATGACCTATCAAATCTTATATACCTAATTGTTTTTACGATCAGATATATGGTGGCGAACTTCACTTCCTCCGAGGTAAGTAAACAAACGTGAAAATTTAAAGTGCACGTTATCGTGTATTGCCTTGTGTCGTTTTGTGATAAGTTGGCGTAAATCCCCGATCAAATATGGACAAAAAAGGTGAAAGTAAGTACTTTTTGATGGTTTAATCGTTTTTATTATTAAGATTAATTTTATGACCACCATGAGACTCCAAAGTTTTGTCCTAATTTAGGCAAAAAATTGCCTTCACCTTAAGTTTTAGTTATCACTAACACGAGCTAACACGTTCTTATCAGTGCAAGAATGTAGCTCATAATGTTCCTCTAACAGCATATCATAGGTTTTTTTGCATCTTTTTGCCTCTGGGGCCTTCAGACCCAGACCCAGATCAGACCCTAAAACCTTGCGGATTACCATTCTCGGGTTGCCTAGCCAGAAATTGAACTCGGAACCTGTTGATCTTAAAGCCAGCACTCCAACCACTACGCACCACAGCGGGCCGAGTTAATAAATTTGTATTATGTATTTAGGCTAAAGAATAAAAAAAAAACCTAAGTTTTATCCACCATTTGTCGTTTTTCCGGAGAAATTATTATTTTGCTTAAAAATGAGGTTTTTTGCAAAAAAAAATTTTCCGGAAATCTGGCAAGTGCTGGAAAAAAACTGATATCATTTTCGGATTCAGCAGCCAAAAATACATATGAATCACCCTATATCAAACGTTGACCTTGTCTCATCTCTCTTATCTCCTTCTGCAATGAAATCAGATTGCGCAGAAAATCGTATAAGTCCTTCACTAAAATGACCAAAAAAGGCCCCAGACGCAAAAATACGCAAAAAAACCTGTGATATCCTGTTAGAGGAACATATGAGCAACATTTTTGCACGAATGAGAACGTGTTACCTCGTGTTACTGGTAACTAAAACTTAAGGTGAAGGCAATTTTTTGCCTAAATTAGGACAAAACTTTGGAGTCTCATGGTGATCATAAAATTAATCTTAATAATAAAAACGATTAAACCATCAAAAAGTACTCACTTTCACCTTTCTTTTCCATATTTGATCGGGGATTCACGCCAACTTATCACCAAACGACACAAGGCAATACACGATAACGTGCACATTAAATTCTCACGTTTGTTTACTTACCTCGAAGATGTGAAGTTCGCCACCATATATCTGATCGTAAAAACAATTAGGTATATAAGATTTGATAGGTCATTTCACACCTACTAAAGGACGTAGATAAGGATTATATGCTCGATCGCCAGATTTTCGTACTTTCAAAAATCGGATTTTTGGCCACAATTCGGCGCCCCCAGACCATAGTGCAGAGGTGAGCTTCCACATTTGAATGGGTCAAGAGGTATGATAAATTCAATTGATTTTTTGTAATTCTACGGATTTTATACTACTCAACATTGATTTTCTTCTTGATTCATTGGGTAAATAAAATATTATTAGGAGACGACAAATTGAGTCGGCAAGTATGTCACCCAGCTAAAGGTCTGTCCCGGGTTTCTGCTTTGAGTTAAATCGTGAACAAAAAAGTGTTTGGTTCCAGTCGAAATGTATTAAACGTGGTGAATCCTCTGGGCAGAAAAATAGTTTAAAGTTAATAGTTAAAGTAAAAGCAATAGTTAGTAGTTAAAAAAGCTCACCTCTACCCGCCCGCCAATTCCGGTAAGAATTGGTCATTTGTTCAGTTATTTGTTCAATATTACACGTGATGTTTATCCGTTTAATATTTTCACATTGGAAGTCAGGAGAATTTACTAGGAAGCCATGGACTGGAAGGAATCCATGGTTAAGAGCAGATCAGATGTTTGACATTTCCAAACATTTGGTGTCTTGAGGGTTTCTGCTCTTAGTAAGCATGCCTGGATTTTAGTTGAAAAGATACCTGACATTGTATGTATCCTTTTTATGGCAATTAATCGAGTAATTCTTTATGAGTGTTTCGAATCCTTAACTCTATCCTGTAGAATCTTCACCTCTGTCCCACGAATTCACCACTGGCTGGGTCTAATTTAGGACACAGTTGAGCGGGACAGAGGCAAGAATTCTGCTTGTTTTGACTTCAAAATATAAAGTAATTTTGAATTATCTTCAAGGCAATATGGAAACCTTGCAGGGATCAACATTACACGTAATATTAAGCAAATCCATGTAGAAATAATCGGTTCTTACCAGAATTGAAAGCTGGACAGAGGTGAGTATATTTTTTTTTCAATACTTGACTCTATTTTCTGCCAGCAAAATTCACCACGTTCAGTGCATCACAATCCTTCGATGCAAACAACTTTGAGTTCACAACACACCGTTGTTACAACTTTGACCATTTTAAGTACACACTCTTATCAAACAGGACTCCAGGCGGTAGATACGCAGGTATGGTAGATGACCAGACACCCAGGAAAGATCGTTAGTTATAAAGGGGGTGACACGTCTGCAGAGTCGATTTTTGGTCATATAATCCTTTATTCGCTCAATGAATCCAGGTGAAAATCAAAGTAGAGATGTTGAGTGAACGGAAAATGACAGCTCTCGATCTTTTAGTCCATTTTTTTATTCATTCTACTGTCGTTTACATTTTAAAGAAATGATGAGTGACTGGGATAGAAGTGAGATTTTCTGCCGTATTCTGCTTCCGCCGAGAAATACAGAACTTTTAGTGATGTCTTAGCGAATGTTCTAAGTTCGCAGAACCACCCCACTTAAAAAAAAAAGCAGTTGACTTACAATCCTTTGAGAAATAGATGGCTGAACATCCCCAGAGACAGGAAAACCAACGATAGTAGAGACGTTCCCTTCTTTAGCCAGTATAGAGATATCTCAAGGAGCATAAGCATGCAATTCAAAGAC